TTAGGTGGAACTTCGAGATTTGTTCTGTAGGTTAGCAAATCGAACTGTTCAACTGCCTCTATGAATGCCTCCACTGCTGTAACTCTACTTGGTAGTGGGCCCAATTTACACGTGCATTTTTTCTTAAATGGGTTTACATGAGCCTGTGGCGGTCATCTTTTTCTTTGTCTTTGGCAAAGTGTATGCGAAGACGGAGTTGTTTATATATTTATATCTGTCCCGTATGTGTATGTATATAAATCAATTATCTTAACTTTAAGAGTAATAAATGATAATATCATAAATTATTACTCGAACAGACCTAAGTCTATATCTTTATTTTTTTCAGTCAATAAAATAAAACTTAGTATCCTCCAATCAACTGATAATAGATATTCAAATATGTGTTGTACCTGGTAAAACATCAATTGCAAAGGCATTTCTGATCAAATATTTTGTCTTTTTGAGATTATTTCATGGTTACAAAGATCACAAAATCTATCAGATTTTCAAAATAATTTAATTCGTAAAACAAGAAAAACACAAACTAATGGTTATATAAAAACAATACTGCATCTACATACATTGTGACAATTAAACACCACAAAACTTTCACTAACACAAAATGGCAATTACTTTGTTATCTATAGTCCGAATTATTCTGACGTTCTATCGACAATTTTACATCATCTGGAGATGGTCTGAACACCAGACCAATGTATTAAAAAGCCGACAGAATGTCAGAGCTATATAGATTTTCCACAGGACCCAGTAGCATTACCGAGATTAATGCCCTTAGAAACATCCTCTTTCTGTGATCATTTGATGATCATAATACATCCACTTACTACAACATCTGTCCTGTGGGTAAATGATCTGGATAAACAAAGTATTAATATCACAAATTTTTGATTTTGGAATTTTGCATTGAAGACAACTTGGTTCTACACATACTATGGTAATCTCAATTTGTTATCCACGGTGACAGGTACGAATAAAAATAGAAAAAATCCATGCATACTATATTTTTTATATGAAACAGAATAATTTTCCTCTCTATAGAATACAAAGATCCATCATGTACTATCTAAGAAATGTTTTCAGCAAAATTTAGCTATCAAAATCTAAAACAGCCACCTGTAAGTAAATTTTGATCACTCACAAAATTGTTTAAAGGATGCCAGCATATCAAAATTGGGAAATATTGATACCTGCATTGTGAACTTGAATGTATTCCATCTCCTACTAAACACACACCATGGCTCTGGGCATAGTGGTTATTAAAAAGAAGTTTGAAATTCAATATAGCATTTGACTTTCCTGACCTTGAAAACACATACTACAAAGTATTACAGTATTACAGTAAGAATTTAGTCATACTACTAATATCTTCCAACAATATAATTTTGGTGTGACATAATCATCCACTGGAATGATATACTTAATGTACATATGTTACTATATTTGTGACTGGACTAATTAAATTTATTTCAGAGTATAGTATATTAATATCCTCTTTAACATACATGTAATCAGTGCAAAGATATTTCAGTTGATATGTCAACTGAAAAGGTTGTCCAAAATAATTGACAAGCACAGGAAGTAAACAAGAAAAAGAGAACACTTTTGGGTACCTGATTACAAAGGATACAAATACAAACGAGAAGTAATGTACCAACAGATACACTGCCTTTGTAAAATCTAAAACAAAAGGGAAAAAAAGAACATGATTGTGTATAAAACCTTAGGGTTGTTAAGTCTGGTGTTTGTAAGGAGTAAAAGACAACAATACAAAAATATCACTGCTTGACCTTGGGCAAAATTCAGCAAAGATATGTTTAAATGGAAGACCTGAATGAAATGCAAACATTCAAACCAAAATGCAAACAACATAAAATCAGAAATCTTGCATGGTGTCTACTGAAATGAAAGAAAAATACTTTGATAATAAATATAGACAGCAATGTATCTCCAGTGAAGAGATATTCTACTTTGGTGTGGTGTGTATATCTGACTTGTTTATCAACATAAATCAGAGTTTTTTAATTTGAATACTGCAATCCTGAGGAATTTGATTTCCAGAATTCAGGAATATAAAGAAAACAGTGTGTCTGTTTCATCACTGTTCTGAACACTTACAGGTTATGATCACTCCTGCATCCCAGGAAAATGTCATGGCGAAATTGAAGGCACAAGCAAAGTAATTGAAGTGGTTCCAGGAGAAAAAACTGACCAATTACAGGCTGATACCTCCTTTCGAAGATTACAAAAGAGCGACACTCAACTTCAATGCCGTTACAATATAAAGTCATACGACCTCCAGATTTGTTAATGCTTGTCCACAAGGTGTCACACACTGAACCTTCAGTTTTGCCATGACAAGATCCTGGGTGCAGAGAGCAAAAAAGATGGATAATGTTAAACTTGTGACCATATGGATTCATAAATGTACACGGTTTAACATAACTGACTTGCTTCACGGAGGAGCACAGGACTACAAACACAAATGATAACAAGAGGCCCAATGGACCTGCATCGCTGACCTGGTATTCAATGTTTATCAAAAATATAATCAATGTTCATTACAAATACATCAACATGTACACTGTTTGCATACAAAAAGGGCACCTCCAATACATTTAAACCCATTTCTACAACAAACTTAAGCTTCTAACACTAAACTCTTGAGAGTTCTCCTAGATTAAAAGTAAGTCATTTCATTTTATTTTTCTCAAAATTTGACGGGTTTTACCTAGAAACACCATTCCACCAGTTGTTAAAGGGTTTAAACAAATGCAACCCCTGTGATCTTGAATATTGGTCAAGGACATTTCATTTCACAAAACTTGCCAGGCTCCCTCATAAGAACCTATGCTTCTTCCCCTTTAGATTTGTCAGAATTGTATTTTGAGATTTTAATCAATTTGACCTCTGTGACCTTTAATATGTGTCAAGGTCACTTCTGTTCACAATTTTTGCTTGGCAGTTGGTGATTGGAGTGATGCTGTTTAAATTGAAATGTTGATGCCAATCAGAGATGGACGGATAAAGGACAAGACAAGCAGATAACGGACAAGACAAGACAGACAACAGACCCCATGCCACAGCATATACTCACTTTGGGCCAGATTAAATGAAAATACTGTGTCAAGAGACCCAACATCACTCATGCTAACTGAAGATTTAGCATCACAATAATAAATTGAACACAAGATGTTCATGATTACCACATTATATGCAATATTTTAAAGGCATTTCAATTCAAAATTAAATACGAGTACAAATGGCAGATCATTTAAAATCTATATCAGATTGAGGCTGAAGAAAGAGTAGATAAACAATTACCGGTATAAGTTCAATCACATTCATATTTTTCATGGCAGCTGAAATTCACGAACATTAACCAGAATATGTTAAAAGTCTTTGGCAAAAACTTCAATCCCTAAACATCAATCTGACATGAAATAAAATAATTAAAAAATTAAGATTTTCTTAATAACAGTGCATAAGTAAGATGATTTAAGGTGACTTCCTTTACCTGGCAATGCTAGTGTGGGATGTTAAACATCAAATGCACTGTTCTATAAACAGAGTCAGTTGTCAAAATACATAATTACAAAACCAATTTCTTTTTCACACACTATCACAATACTTATGGTTCAACTACAAAATATTGCATCTTCTTATTCTGATTTGCAACATAGCTGACTTTTATACTAATATGTCATGTACAAATCTGAAAATTACATATTCAAATACCAATATTGAATTCTATGTCCATAATAGTCCCCCCTCCCCTCCCATCACATACAAAGTAATTGTATGAATTGAACCAAAAGGACAAAATACCTTTAGTGTTCAATCTGTCTTGAGGTAAGCATTAATATTAATAAGACCGTTGGTCATACACTTTTCAGATGTTGCTAAGTTGCTTGTTCATTGCAGAGATAATGCCTCGCGTTAAGTAAAGTCATGGATTAGAAAACCTGTAACCAGTTAACTACAGCCTTATCATTTTACATCATATTTAGGTTCAATATATCTCGTATGTATTAATCAACATTGTCGATATTGCAATAATGTAATATAAAATATCATGGGTTTATTTTTCATCAACAAACTTGGATTAAGGATTTCTAAAATATGAGTTGTTATTACTATCTATTTTATACTACAATGGGCCAGGGATGTACATATGTCCTTGAATGAGTCCATGGGTTCAATGATAAAAATATGTCTCGAAGTCAGGTCATGAGCTTAATGCGGGATATTTACAGTACTTGTTTGTAATTTTACTGAACAGCAATACAGCCAGGTGTGCTTGTTATCAGACACAGATGTATTTGAGAGATAAACATGGTCCAATAGTACTCCAAGTAGTTATAACTTGTCAGCAAAAATTTATATGGAAACTTTTTTTAACCAAATTACTTTGTCAGTTCCTGTATAGTCTTATTTCTGTTCAGACCTTTTATCTCTGATCAAATAATTCCAGTGTATGATTACCAATAAGCTATACAACATATGTAATATAATAATGAATATAGAGACATGAATGTATTATATCAGAATGAAACTTTTCAGTTGCCCGAAAGATGATAGGGATTAACGTCCATGTTTCCATTCAAACCGAACCTAAGATTGCCACTGACATCCTTGTTTCCATTCTAACCAAGCCAAGGATTGCCACGGACATCCTTGTTTCCATTCTAACCGAGCCTCGGATTGCCTCTGATATCCTTGTTTCCATTCTGACAAAGCCCAGGATTGCCTCTGACATCCTTGTTTCCATTCTAACCGAGCCTCGGATTGCCTCTGACATCCTTGTTTCCATTCTAACCAAGCCAAGGACTGCCTCTGACATCCTTGTTTCCATTCTAACCAAGCCAAGGACTGCCTCTGACATCCTTGTTTCCACTGACATCCTTGTTTCCAACCAAGCCAATTGGACTGCCTCTGACATCCTTGTTTCCATTCTAACCAACCTCTGACATCCTTGTTTCCAGCCAAGGACTGCCTCTGACATCCTTGTTTCCATTCTAACCAAGCCAAGGACTGCCTCTGACATCCTTGTTTCCATTCTAACCAAGCCAAGGACTGCCTCTGACATCCTTGTTTCCATTCTAACCAAGCCAAGGACTGCCTCTGACATCCTTGTTTCCATTCTAACTGAACCAAGGATTGCCTCTGACATCCTTGTTTTCATTCTAACCAAGCCTAGGATTGCCACCGACATCCTGATTTATATAGACACTACTAATTAAGACACTTATTCCCACTCTCTGATTGGTGATTTTGATCTAGTGTTACTATTTATAAGGTGTTTTCTTATTATGACATTACTTCAAACGTAAGTCCAAAATCTCTTTGTCAAATACTGCATTTTTCTATCTTTTAACAATTCATTCATCATAATTCACCTTTTCTACCACATTAAAATTTATATATATCAACACTGAAGCTGAAATTGATCTAGACTTTGCCTTGTTAATGTCCATATAACTTTATATTCAGTATCATCCAAGTTAACAAAGTTATGGATCCATAATTTACAAAAATATTTTCATTAAATGAAGAGCACACAATGATATAAACTACATGTTGGACATGACAACGTCATATTAACATGTATATTGATGGGTTTTTTCTACTAAGGAAGTAACTGGGGTAGCAATGCTCTCAATGTGTGTTTGTTCCAGATTGAAAAAAATCCTTGTATGATATATACATTTAAATCTGCCCTAAAAGCAAATTGTATATAAAAACACCTGTCTATAAAGGCCACATCTTTTGGGTTCCAATATGATACACTTCACATTAACTGAACTTCCATGTAAAGGCCATCTAACTATAAAGGTCACTTTACTTGGCTCTCTTCACAAGTCTTTATAGACAGGTTTGACTGTACTTTATACATTATCATGCTATTTGGGTATTGTTATGGTAGAACACTTATAGCACTGGCTATATTGCTTTAACTTATATACAAAAGATATCAGTGTTATAACAGAGGGTAAACAGGCATGAGAAGTGATTTCTTTTCATAAATATAAATTGAATATGCGGCCAAAACAATATAATAAACGTTTGACAGAAAAAGCTATATCTTGTTTAAATATAGGAAGTGGACAAAAGGTTGAGAGACAAATGTTTTTTGCTGAGAAATTCTATGCCACAGGTGTGAAATTCTAGCTCTATACTCAGTTCCTTCTTATTTCTTGAATGCAGAAAAACAGAGAAATAGAAACTTCTTATTGTACTGTAAAATCCTTAATTTTAGAGGGCAATTTATTGTCATTTATTTTTGGGTACAATTAATCTATCAATGTATTGGTCTATTAGTGCTGATATGAGTATAAGTAGACCTATTTAACTTTATTCATCCACAAAATCAAGTCTCCATTAAAATTATTTTGATTTTTTTTTTTTTTTTTGAGTTCCGCAAAAATATGCATGACTTAACAGTATATTATGTCTACATTGCACCATTCCTACCCCCTTTATCCCTAATTTTCAATATGTGGCATTTACATCCCCTGCTTTTCAATTCATTTAATCCCAGTGTTAAATATACATTTCAAAATCATTTTAGACACAAAATCGGCTTGGTATTCGGAATTGATAGGGATGTGTATTCTTGGGATGAAGTTTTAATTACTATAATAAAGAGGACATTATTTCATACCTGGCCATTTCCTTCGGTTTGAAGAGGTGATCGGTTTTAAAAGGGATCTGTTTGGGGAAGTTGCACTGTATATGTATGCTGTCCTAGACAATTACATAATTTTGTAGTTCTGGAGTCTATCGATGGTAGAAGATGTTTCAATCCATAACTCCACCAAACCAAAATTTTACTTCCTTTTTTATCATCAATACAGACATTTTCCCAATAAAGATCTAACTCAGCCTCCAATATTCCCATATGTTGGTGACTCGTGGGGCAGAGCCATCCGCCGTGGATAGAAAGTATGGTCCACAGGGTACTCTAGTAAATTCACCACACTGGACATGTACATATCAGCGAAGCGCGCCAGTCTGCGTGAGAAGTAAGTTGGGTTGTGGTACGTCCGAAATATACTGCCAAACCTTGGGTTGAACAGGCTCTTTGTGAAGTTTCTGTAAACAACCAGAACACCTTAAATCAAATAAATTCAATATTACACCAACACCAAATTTTGTATATCTGATTATTTCAAACATTGTATGTCACAAGAATATTTATACCACTCTTATATCCTTTATTTCTTGAGCTGTATATCATAAAATCTGTCTACAAACATAAATGATTTCAATAAAAAAGTATAAGATGTTTGAATCACTGTTGTACAACAAGATTAACACACATATACATATGTCAGATGTAAGGAATCTCATACCTGTATATACATATAAAAAATAATACAAGTTTCTGTGTCATTAGAAATTTAAGAAACAAGTCTTTAAGATTTGTTTACATCTACTTTCATGGCGGGATGAAATAATTTTTTTATGAGGAGTATTATAAATGGAAAATGGAAGCACATTTAAGATGATTTTGATCATATGAAAACATTTTTTTCTCCTGTTGTCACAATAACACTCTATAATCATCCTTCATAGGATAGGTAAAAATTTTATATGGATATCACCACTTCATGACAAGGTAATCATGTAATTATGAAACATATGCCTTTCTGTTTACAGGTGAGTTGAACATAAGTATTACAAGTAAGAGAAAATACTGAAATCTGAACAAAACAAGGGAGACAATTCTGCAGAATCGTAAAGCCACATTATCTTATTTTCTTCTTCACAATCTGACAGGCTGGACTAGCATTTCTTACTTATATTATAAAGGCATTTAAAAGTAAAAAATTATTTTATTTGAAAATATTGGCCTTTTTTCAGAATTCAATGAGTATGATTCTTAAAGAAAGTGAACGGTGCATTCACTGTAGATCTGATAAGTCATGTGATATAGGTCACTTTTGCATAAGCAGTTGAAATGGTTGATCAGGTTGAACCTGCAAGAATAATGCCATGTACAGATAAGGACCAGGACTGGACTGTGAAATATTTAGCATGTGCCAAAACTAACTTGCTGAATGTCATTAGTTTTCAGAATTTCAGCATAAAGAAGGATCGATACACCCACATATTTCCAGAAGCTATTAAGTATAATTGAAATGGAGGGTGTCTTAACTTCACTTAATTGTTTGATGTTTGACCAGAAATAACAAAACTGTGTATTTAGAGCTTTACATATATCAGTTCCAACATCTGGGAAATGTGTGTTCATGTATGATGGAATGATTCCAGAGCACCTGAACTGTTTCAACCTGGTTACACTAAAGGGACCATATTATCTATCATCTTTATCTTCATGGGCACAAAAAAATAGATTATGGCATTAACATTTACATTGATCAATAAAACAGTAATTATTTCAAGAAATAGTCATAGACACTTTAAAGAACGAAGAACTATAAAAATTATCCTGGATTCTACTCAACCTTACTACTTATAAATTAGATAGATACTTTCTGAGCCAAGATGAGCAAACCCATATTTCAGAATAATTACAGAAGTACAGAAAATTCTACATCAGTGCTATTTGGTCTTACTATCTTTTGGGGAAAAAAAAAACATTATTTTCAAGACATCTGCCCTAACTTCACTTAACTATTTGTGGAATGCAATATTTTGATTACTTTGTTTGTCTGTTGGTTTAATCAACCTATGAACAGTCATGATCATTTTTAGGTAGAGTCTCCTTGTAGCAGCTGGTGGCAACTTCGCTGAACAACATACAGAAGGCACACCAAGAGCCATCCAGATCAATTAAGGTTAAGTAATTTGCCAAAAGATATGAACACAATAGCAATGACTAGCCCATGTCTCAGGTTCTGAGAAACACATACCCTACTGGTAGTCAGTGTCAAACTCCATAACTCAGATCTTCACCTGAGGTTATGCAGATCAACACTCTACCAATTGAGATAATTGCAACCCCTTTATTTCTTGTGATTTTCCTTTCATTTGTACTGCTGAAGGAGAAAATGTACTTTCATGGATACATGGTTTGAATAAATCATTTAGTTTTTGATTGGGATTTATTTGTGTTAATATATGAGGAGACTCACAAATTTGAATTCCTCGCTATTTGTCCTTAAATAACTCTGGATGGCTTCCATGTTGATTCATTAACAGATATCAGACTTTTAAAGAGTCCAGGTTTCTAATGGTTTATTGTTCGCCAATTTCTAGATCAGTTCTCACAAAATCCTGTATTCAGAAATATTTCTGAAGAGGCATGCAATTTTGTGAAATGAAGTATTCGCTAAATCTAAATAATTTACAGTATACAAATCTGAAAGGTAAAGTTGTCCAATAGAGCTCTAAAGCTGGTATTACATCTTTCTCAGCTTTAAATAATACACACATATATTCACATCACCAACAGTCAGAAATGGATTAATATCCTCCATAGCGTTAGATACTTATAAATTATATGTACCAAAACTGAAGTGTTTGGGCACAATAACCTACCTTATTTCATCTCGTTCCTGAAGCCACACATTCAAGATTTCTTTGACCTCTGGACACTGGTCAACCTGATATCAAAGAACAAAGATGTGTCAACCTGTCCTGTTAGTTTGTCGACAGACTTTGTAATTGCTGATTATATGGATTTAAGTGGAGTGTGTAACACAGAAATTGTGCTCTAACCCGGCCATTTCTTTCAATTTCATCTTTAAAGGGTATGTGTGTCTGGAATAAGGTATCAGAGGTGATAACCATTTCAAGGCAATCAACCCCTCATGCATAATCAAGGCATGACTATTGCACTACACACCTTGCTCCAGCCATACAAAGACTACAGAAATATTTCTAATTTCTACATAAAATGCACTCCACAGCAATGGCAAAGTTTGTGATGACACAGGAACACACTAGTACATGTAACTATCAAATATGGTAGGCTATTGAGGCAGCTGTCACATAATGAATGGAACTTCATATTAAGTATTTCTCACCTTCGATAATCATTAGATAGCTGGTCATACAAAATTATCTCTTTCTGCTGAAAGTAGTATTGATATTGTGACTTCCCAACAGCAGAATTTATTTTTCATTTGGTACAATTTTTTTCTTTGCTATTATCATTAAATATTGAATTTTCAACTTAACCTTACTGAAAAGACTGTAGAAATAAACACAAAAGCACTCTTATAAAAAGTAAACTGTTTCAGCACTGTGTCAATTTCTTAATTTCCAATTAGACAGAAAATGTTATAAAACAAAATAGCTTTAGTGATTTGGTGTAGTCAGATATTCTCTGACACTGGAATACCTTAACAAATCAAAATGTATTTCCTAATATATGTGTATCTTCATAAATCATACCTTTTCTTCATTTGAATATATCTTAATAAATCATACTTGTATTTCTTCTTTGAAAATCTTCTAAGTCTTCTTCTTGTAATATTCTAATTTGAATATGTCTTAATAAGTCATACCAGTATTTTTCTAATTTGAATAATTATATATTTATAAAACATACTTGTATTTCTTCTATCAGTTCCTGGAGGACACATAGCCATCTCACAGCCACTTGGAAATCTTCTGAATTAGACTTGCCTATCTCTGTCTGAAAAAAAAAAAAAAAAAAAAATGTTTTAAGATTTCTGATATACATGAGTACATACCTGGGTCAGTAAGTGTCTCAGCGATATTTTATCTGTTGTTCTACTAATTTCTTTTCTCTTAATTCATGCATAAACATGTAACGTCAAATTCATACAAATTTGATGCCACAGAAAAACAAAATGTGTATAAAATTATTTCCAGACTTGGTTCACTGACCAAAGCTGCCTTTCAATACAAAAAAATGAAATATAGCATCAGTAACAACTTATGTACAAACTTTTCCTACAGGTAAATGATGCTAAAAAATGTCTATACCTCTAGTTCTGGGATAATTGCACCTGTTTTCCAACCATGCTTTAGTGATGGGTCCTACAAAATACATTAAACAAGCATATATTACATGTATACAAATAAAATAAAATGTGATTTCAAAGAATTTGAAGAAGAACACAAAATGTTTTCCTTAATCAGACAGAAAAACTTATTTGGGTGTTTTTTCTTTCCAAAAGTATAGGATGATTTTTACACTTTTCATATTTGTGAATATCATCTTAAATGTTTGAGTGAATGAGTCTAATTGCCATGTATTTCAGCATGTTACTACTCAAATTAGCTAGAGAGTTCTCAAGAGGAGATTGTTAGAAGACGTTAAGAGAGAATTTCTTGAAAACTTGTCAATATTTTTTTAAATCATTTTTATCAAGCAAACTAGAAACTAAATATCAAAACCCTTGTCTTTTGATTTCAACTTTTTTTTAATTTGAAAATATACAAATGGTATTTGATGCTTATATGTCATCTTATCTTCTTCGCATATAGGAAGTTATTTAAAACATTTAGATTTAAACACATTCCTACCTAATGAGTCTTAAGGTGTCATATGCTCACTTTTTATCACAGCTTGCTACTTAACAAGGTGGGACTTATGGCTGTATAATAAGGAGTTGTCTAAAGAATCCAAAAAGTTAAACTGGACATACAACAGATGCATGGATGAGTGATAGACACTGAAACACCCTATATTACATTCATTTGTCTTTTGTATTAATGAACCAAAAACATATGTCTCGCCTAAAACTATTTATTCCTAAATGTAGTACATTTGGGAAAGGAAATATATTATGTATCAAACCCTTTTCTTACCCTAACGTAACTGTTAACCTAAAATTCTCAAAACAAGCTAAGTTACCCAAATATACCTACTGCTAAATCACTGTACACATGATCACCAAAATAGAGCACCTTGGCTCCATGCCAGTCGGTCATCTGCCTAAAAAAATTAAAGTTTCCCTGAAACAAAACCAGAAAAGTAAATTAAGGAAACAAAAATATTAAGAACGAAGGAAGCTTTAAAACCTATGTGTAAACAGAGACATAAAGTTTCACACTGAACATTTTCATATGATTGTAAACAATATTCTAGTACACAAGAATTACATGGTCATTTTTATGCATAATACACTAAAATTTGTGTCCTTAACAGATAATGTACTGACACTACAAAACTTTACAGTCCAGCTTCTCAGCCCAGTTCGACTGTAAAATCTGGGAGATCAATCTATATTCATGGTTTGGTTAAAAATGGATTTAAACTTTTGAGCAACAGATTAGATGCAAAACTTTCAAGCAAAATGTTGATAATACCTGTGTCCTCAGAAAATAACACCATTGTCATGTTTCCACAACGTCACAGGTGAGACAAACATAGGTATTATTTTCATGGATCAAGTCTATGATGAATGTAGACATGATTACATATTAATTCTTCTATGCTCCCCTGATGTAAGACATACATTCAGTTATTTCACTTAAAATTTGACCTCACCTCTTGATAAACTCGATCTTTACGTAAATGAGAAACTCTGTCCCAATATTCCAGCTTTTTACATGGATCGTAAATTCTGAATGGCCTGAAAGAATGTAGTGAAACACAATTATATATTATCAAGAAGTGCTTTATTGGTCAGTGTGTGGTATTTAAGAATTCTGTCAAAAGGACATGGGTTATAGAATAGAGTCACTAAAACTAAAATAATGAACACTGATTGATTTCTTGTATCACCAGTATCTCCTGAATAAGACAACATACAACAATACAGGATTATATCATACCTAGATCTCTGATTTTCAGTGGCTAAGTTTTCAGTCCCTAATTTTAATTCACTTGGACAAAACAAACCCACTGCTCACCTGCACTTGAAATGCATTCGGGTTGAACTTTACAATATTACGGTAATAACAATTCCTTGCTGCGCGAGCCCAGTTCACTGGGATTATTTTTCAGGTCAGAAGGTACAAGGTCAGGGTTACTAATAATTTCACTTTAATCTAACTTGCCATTTTATAATTTTTTTCATGCTTTGATGATTTTTTTTAATCTATTTTGGAGTTCAAAACATAAAATATGATGACATTAATTGAAGATTATGTTCCATTCCGGATGTATTAGTTTAAAGGTACAGGTAAACACTGATGCAATCATTAAGAGTAAAATTTATGTAAGTTTTGCCAGTCGTTTGTACATACCAGGGATATCTATACAATAAAAGTGAAGGTGATAACAAGATCATTCAAAAACATTTATTACAAGATGCATCTACTCTTATACTGTCCACTAAAAAAATAAATAACTGATTTTTTGATAGGGCCTTCCTACCTAGATGATTCATTGAAAAACTTTGGTTTCCTTGCATTGCAGATGATTACTTCAAACAGCTCCATCCAGTCACCTCCAATCAGGTATTTCATCCCAGCATTTCTGTACAAAAATACATAAAACTGATCACCTGAAGGGAACCAACAAGCTCAAAATCATTAGTGAAAAATTAATTTGTCGTGATATTTAATGTTTACTTAACAGAACAGTACACAACAAGCTCAAAATCATTAGTCAAAAATTAATTTGTCTTCATATTCTATGTTTACATAACAGAACAGTATACACATGCTCAAGTCTGGATTTTGTTATGTCCAGGAAAAAAAGTTATAACACAATTATCTGACTTGTCACACTTCCAGTTAACAAGCCAGCTTTAATTACTGAAAATTTCTGACAACTACACAGTATACACTGAAATCATTAAATCAATGTACACTTCAAACAAATTGTTCAGAGGTGAATTTACCAAAAAAAAAAATATCACACCTATTTCATTGTCACTGCTATTGTTAACACTGTCATTGTTAATTTGAGATAAATAATAACTCTTTTCTGCACATGCTAAAGTTGGTCTTATTACAATAAAGTAGCATTTATTCAAAATTGGCGATTTCACTTCAGTAGATATGATGAAGGTGTTTGTAAGTAGATATAGGCTAGTTATAGGATAGACATAGTAAATCATTTTGCAATAGCAAACATAAGCCATTAACACAATATTACCATTAAAATGATGTTCAATGGCGACTTTAACCTCAAAAAGTTTTTTCTCCTCCATTTTTCACATATTCCTGGTAAAATTCTTGCTGCAATATACCACTTGGCTAGGAGAACTTCTCTTTAGCTCGACCAGTTGAGCATTAGACTAGTTAGCCAGACATCATGGTTTTGAATCCTAGGGGACGCATTAAAATATATAAAAACTTCTGCAGCATTTGTCTACCAAATGTTGTACCATCCATCTCCTTCCCATCCACCCTCTACTTGTACTTACACGAAAGGGAAGCCACTGTTTGTGATCAGAAATAACTTTTTGTTGGAGTTGATGAGACGATGAAGTACTTGTGTTATCTCTGGTCCCCGTTCCAGGTACCTCGCTGTAAAACAAGTAAATGACCTAATGTAAGCGACTGAGATAAGCGAATGTCTTTCCCTATAACAAGAGACCTATGGGCCTTAACGGTCACTTGGACAGTGTTATAACCTGTCCATCAGTCCCAGCATTGGAACAGACAGTACAGAACTGATATATGCATACTGGCAAAGTTTTCCTTATTTCTAAGTTTAAAGGCTTAACTTTCAATTTAAAAGAATGGATAATACTCTCTGTTGTTGAAGTATAGTATATCTGACCCCTGTGATCTTTAACAAAGGTCTGGGTAATTATTTGAAACAAACATGATAGCCCTTCATCCAAGTATGCCACTAGCCCAATATCATGACCCTGGGCCTATTGTTTATTGAGAAGGCATTGAAAGAGTTTGACATATTTGATACATGTAACCTTAAAATGGGTAAAGGTCATCAATATGGACAAAGTTGGTAGCCTTTCATGCCAGCATGCTTTAGGTCAAATATTAGCACCCAGGTTCTTTAGGTCATTGAGAAAAAGTTGTAAACAGATTTCAACACACTTGACCTCTGTGACCTTGAAAGTGGGTCAAGGTCATTTATTTTAACAAACTTGGTAGCCCTTCATCCAATCATTTAAAGGTTGTCGAAATGTGGATTGTTTATGATGCACAATGGATGACACACAATGGATGACAACGGACAAAAGGCGATTGCGATAGGTCACTTGAGAATTCATCTCAGTTGACCTAAAATGCTAATCATTATTTTGTGATGGTATTCATAGACTCAAATGAGAATTCAAGGATCTTTTTAAGCAAGAAGTGTCACCTTCCCTGGTCAGAGAAGTCTTACAAGGTATGAAGGCTACACACTTATTTAACAATGTCTCAATTCTATCTTTGGTCAACTATTAGTGATTGTTATGTCTCAATGACTACACAGTCACCTTTATCAGACAAATGACCAGTGTGAAGTGTACTAGCATTGACGCACAAAGGCCACAAACTCTCGCACATTAATGACAAAGAGTTTAGCGTAGCCAAATTTCAGTACATTGTTACCTTTTTCTGTGTTTTTCTATAATCTGTTTACCATCTCGTCACACTATTTTCGACCTTAGTGTACATAGGATTTTAGTACAGCCAATTCTTTACCATCTCATACACTACGTATGTCAGTGTTAGTATGCTCCACATTGCTCATTAGTCTAAAGAAGGTGACCGTGTAGCCATCGAAATGTCACAATCTAATCTTCTACTGGTTGTGTTATAAGAACATTTATTCCATATCCCAGTTACTTACCTAAGTCTTCCATAATTTTTGCATGTAAAATTCCAGACATGTGAACTCCCTGAACAGCTGACTGTAAAACAAATCAAGCAATCACCTATAAGTGAATCTTTAAGAATTCAAAATGACATATAATCTTTTTTTAAGAAATTTCTACTGACAAAAATTGATCATTTCAACATTTTTTATTAATTTCTGACATTAAATAATCTTAATAAATGCAATTCATTTAATTTTGATTAAAGTCTTCATAAACTGCCCTTGTCATTTAAAAAAACATTGGTTGTAAGAATTATATTCCTCAATAATTGGGTATGTAGTATTTGAATAGCATGTTGTAACAATTCACGCATGATAATAAGACTCCGCCCCATTTGCAATGCAATTCAACAATTTGCTGTGATTACCAGGAGGTACCTGGTAAAATACTTATCTATGCTAATAATTTAGTAATATAAACACATAAGTGATATAGTAAAATCATCATCTATTCTATTGTCACTTTATCTGCATCAAAACAGGAAAATCAAAACTTTTTAGCAGTGAAATTAAAGTATTACTGATTGGACAATAATCAATAGTCAGATATAAAGATATTATCCTTCTTTGATATCTATCTCTGTGTGAGAGATATCTCTTTACCAAACTGATAAAACCCAGTGTCTTGTGGACAAAATATTTGTTTTCAACCACACAAACTTACCCTCACATCATAAAACACATATTCTGGATCATAGGGGATTTCCTTCTGCATGAAAAACTGCAGAAAAAAATAAATATGATTGTTGAACAATCAATAACACAATTTTGATATTAACCTTACGCTTAATAATGAATGTTGCATTTCAGAAATAAAACATCACCTACAAGGTGACACTATTCTAAATGACAATCTGGTCTTGACTACACTTCAATAAAGAGCTGTACTATTAAATTTGGTGATAAAGCAGAGAAATAGCCAAGATGTTCAGAAATCATAAAGAAAATGTCAGTAAGTGTGATTACAGATCTTATCTAGGTCAGTAGTTAAGTTAAGAAAATACCAACAAATTGTAGACAGCTTGAACATCAATATATATACAGAGTTTATAGTTCAATGGTCAAACTATTTTCTGTACTGACTGCGATAATTTTTGTCAGCTTTAAACAATATTATGTACTACTAATTTAATAAAAACTCACTACATAACTTCTACAGAATTAAGCAGTTGTAAGTGGAAAAAGTAAATTTGCTCATGTGATATATCTTTTCCTATTAAGCCATATGTAAAATCAAATAGTAGACTATGGCAGGTTTTGAGAGGTGCATACATAATTTTTATTATAAAACTGAGTATGCAGGATGAGGTAAGAAACATGATTTAAATGTGGTTTACTTTGATATTGTTTTGATAAGACGTGATTTAAATCTGACAAAAATAAATAATAGCATGAAAGTTGATTAAAAGAAATGTCAATTACTCAAAGTTACAGATAAAAAGTGTAAATAAGTCTATGCTATAATAACAAAATCAACTTTTTTAAAGCAAAATGAATGGTACCAATTAACTTGTGGTTGCTTACAATGTTATGAAGAAAACCTCTGACAAAAAAGTCTTGGTTTGGTGTATAAATTGGACTATCATGTTACAGTGAAACATGAAAAGAACAAGAACTAACCTCTGTGACATCAGCTAGCAGTGTCATCTCTGGAACAGCAAACAGGTCGACAAGCTGATGCATCGGACCCTAAAACATGAACAAAATATTTTCTCACAGCTCTACATAATATTCAAACCTAGACACTTCAATCTGTGTAAAGTAGAACCCCACTAGTCTGGACACTTAAGTTTGTGTAAAGTAGAACTTCACTAGTCTGGACACTTAAGTTTGTGTAAAGTAGAACTTCACTAGTCTGGACACTTAAGTTTGTGTAAAGTAGAACCCCACTAGTCTGGACACTTAAATCTGTGTAAAGTAGAACTTCACTAGTCTGGACACTTAAGTTTAAGTAACAGGAGAACTAATTCATAATCTGGACAATTAGACCTCATCAGCCTGACCTTTCTAACAGTATCAAAATATAATCTCATCATTTTCTGTTAATTCAGAACATTTTGACTACCATCAGACTGCAGCAATTTTTGGATGCTAAATTTAAATTGCAAGGCATGTCATGGCAAGGGAACATGTTCCTCTACCCCATCCTCCCAAATTTTAAATTTCACTATTTTATTTTTTTTGTTTTTTTTTGTGTTTTTCACTTTGAACACTTACTAAACATTGCCTGAACTGGTCTATACTTTTCAATTCAGTTGTAAGAAATTTCCTTGACATGTACCTGAATGCTTCAAAATATATCTAGCAATCTCCAAAATTAAAGGAAAGGGATTTTTTTTTTCTCGTTTTTTTATACACCTAATTTTCCACCAGATTTGGTACAGTCGTTTTTTGGTAAGTATTGGTAAGTACACAGACAGAACTAAAATATTCAGATCTGAACGAGAGTGCACCAAAACCAATAAACAAAAAAATCAACTCACAGTTCCGTAGAACGTATTCATATCTTTAAGGGCTACATGAGTTCCATTGTAGAAAGCTTTCACCTCACTGTCTGGCACCTGTTGTAGACCTCTGGTAAAAATTTACAAATTTTTAGTACATATACATTAAGTTAATTTAATATTCAACACAAAAACATAAAGACACAGAGGGTCCTCACTGATATTTCAGCAATCATGACAAACCTCAGTGATACTGCAACTAGTATATCCTAATGATTGGCTCTGTACAAAGGAGGTCATCACATTTCCTTTATACTTCATCTTCAAATCATTCCTTAATTGCATCCAGCAACTTTGCCTACGAGAGCCATACATCTTTACTTTATATAAATTGATGCCTCAATGCTGCATCAGTCAGTCATACCATTGTCAGTTAAAATAAGGATCACTGATCACAGTTTCCTGGCTTGTCTATTACTTTCAACCACATTATTCACTTCAAATAAAAATGAAACATTGCCTCATACCATACCATATTATTATCATAGAGATAACTAATTTTGTTCATTTGGCATTTATGACACAGTAAATGAAGGTCTTTATCCAAAATGAACAATTCAAACTGAAAAGGAAGTTTTCTAACTGCTACATATAAATTTTCCATTTTTTTCAAAAAGATATCTTACCAGAAGGAATGACAGGTATGAAAAATGCAGCAATATTTACCTGAACACTGTGCCAAGCTGTATGTTGTGGAAGGAGTCAAGCTTCATCATCAGGCCCTGTGTAAATAGAAGTTATATATTATATAATAATGTAAGTGCCTCCTACTTCTGATGCTATATCAGTCAATTGAGATGCATCTACACACAAAACATGAAGACTTAACATGAAATTGTACAACAGATCAGCCCAACAAAAATAAAATGTCTGTATTCAAGTCAAAGATCAAGACTGAGAACAGTTACACTGACTTACTTCTTTGATATGACACTTTGTCATCCAAAGATATAGCAAGTCTTAACTCAAACTTATACCACGGGTATACCCGGTATATATTCAAAACAAAGGAATTAAGACATTACATTAAAACTGTATTGGTGATCAAGATGTATCTTCATATAAATCTGGTAATTAGTCTGTAAGACCAAGCCATTTTTATCTAGGTCAAAGGTCAAAATATAGGTCATATTGACTATATATTGTTAGATTGTATTTAACATGTTGTCTCCGTAAGATGTCTTTTTACACAAGAACACAAATCAGGAAAATTCTACTTAAAAAGGATTCTGGCCCCAAAAACAAATACATGGTACATATGTACTTCCATGTACAACTTTTCAAAAGAGACAAAATCAATTACTGTTTAATCCTTTTATGGACAATTATCTTTATATAAAATGGGGTTTTATTAAGTGACAAGTGCTTGAAATAAAGAAATAATTGTATATTTAAGAAAGCATCACAAATTATACAAATCCCCTTGCAGTTTTGCCTAATATTAAGTGCAATAAAAAAGATGGGCTACTGTGTGAAGTTTGATCAGAATCTTCAAGGAATGAAGCCATTAGAGTATCAATTACCTTGACTCTACAACCCTGAAACTCAAGCTAAAGTAAGATATATTAATCCCTTGTAAATGTATGTTTGATAAAAATCTATCCAGAAATGACATATAAAGCTAGAGCTGAAGTGCTGACAAGGATTTTCTGAAAATAATAACAGCAACCTTGATCTTGACCCTACAACCACGGAAACTTGAAATTGTCCAAGATCCTTTAAAACTTTGTAATCTGTAATCAAAATCCAACAAGAAATGAAGCTGCTTCTGTGCCGAAAGGGCTTTTCTAAATATAGTAACAGCAGCCTTGTCTTTGACTCTGAAATTTTAACCTGTCAGAGATATAATGTTTTTCTTATAAATGTGTGCAGTTTGATCAAAATCACTCAAGGCATGGGGCTGCTAAAGTACAAGGAATTCCTAAAAAAAATAATGACATTGAACCTAGAACCCAATAATTCTAACTTAACCCAGGAATAATCATCACTTATTAATTGTGTGATTTTTTTTATCTAAAATCTGTCGTGGGAGGATGATGCTAATGTCAAAATAGCAACACTGATCTAGACCTTGATCATACAACCCTGAAATTTCAAACTTGACCGAAGTATCCTCCTCCCTTACAAGTGTGTTAAGTTTGATTAAAATCCATTAAGAAGTATAGCTTCTTAAGTGCTGACAAGGATTTTCTAAAAATAGTAAAGATAACCTTGACCGTGACACTAGAACACTGAAATTCAAATTTTCTAAGATCTAATGGTTCTTTATAAATGTCTGAAGATCAAAATTCCTCTATGAAGAAGCTGCTAAAGTACTGAGAAGATGTGTTATATTATGTTAAGTATATGTGTATATATACACAAAATGTATGTATGCTGTATACCTCGGCATTCGTCATAAGAGGATAACAACAGCTGTTAGAATTATGCTGCTGGAAATTTCATAGAAACCTCTGCAACTTCGTCTTTCCAGTAACACTCACCCTTTGGATGTCATAGTGAAGTCCACGTATTGAGAAGTCCTTCACATATTTGATGTTCATAATGGCATCTGGATACTGTAATATAATCATACTTTATTTAGACATATCAGGCTTCTCTTGAAAAAGCATTGAGGTAATTGTCCATGCGGGTTTGTCATCCCAAACGAGTTTCAAATCAGAGTAATTTTTTATCTATTCGCGACTTAATATGGAAAATTAGCAAAATCAAACTTCAAGTAAGGAAAACTCTCTGATTATTTTTTTTTCCAACAAAATGATTTGGTAGATTTTGTATTGGCAACAAGACTTCTGGATATACTTGTAAAGTAAATAATTGGATGAAAAGAAATATGAAACTTTCAGCTTGATTCCCGACATAATACTGAAACACTGTGAATTGACTAACCCTGTATTTGCTGACTAGACTCTCACGACCTAAGTCATAAATGAGCTGATGGAGGGCAGGAGTATAAGAGGCCAGGGTGTAGTCATAATCAAATCCATAGACATCAATGCTACCAAGGTCCGTCTCATTGTTGGCAAATATTGCTTTGGGATTAATCAGTTTGATTCCAGTAACATCTGAAACAATATTTGACATGTAAATTAATTTCTTTGTAAGATTGAAGATGTTGTAATGGTCTGAAGCATACCAAGGCAAAAGAGAATTTGCTTTGTATAAATAATGGGGTTTATCTCCATATAGGATCACACTGGTAGGGCCCAGTTACCAATTCTTTAAAATTCTTCTATTATATGGACTACAGGATTGTGTTTATAATTTATCTGGTACATTCTTGATTGAGTGGTAGGTTAATAATGAACCATATTTACCTGGCTAAATTCCCAATTGAAATTATTTCATAATTAAAGCCAAATTCACAAAATATGCAATTTACTCATGAAAATTTATTGTCTGAATCATCAATTTTCACAACAAATTAGTATAAATGGGGATTAGAATCATAAAAAAGGGTACCATCATAGAATGAATTATGTTTTAGCAAAGGGGAATCAATTTGGCATAAGTTACCATAACAGATCCTGGGCAACTCCCAAAACTATTTACCTGAATAAAGTGAAACACAACAAAACAACTGAATGTGTACAACAGAGACATACCAAATTGATACTGGGCCTATAAGAATTATCCTATCTAGATCATCTATGGAAACTCATAGAAACTAAGGAGGAAATGTTGTAAACCTGATATACAAAAAATATTCACTTTGACTGGGAACTGTCAATATCTGAATTAACAGTCTCTGTGATTAGTTTGTTTGGATAATGACATAAGAAATTTTATATAACCACATAGAGAAATGTAAGATATTTTAAATAACAATAACATTTTTATGTAAAAACTTGATATGGACAGTACATGCCTGCATTCATAACTTATCCTATTAAATCTTATAAAATCCCTTTCAAAGATATAATTTTACATGCGACCAAACAAACAATATTGTATCAGCACCAACAGTTAACTCTTTCAAAAATAGATTAGATGAACACTGGGCAAATGAAGAACTGGTATATAATTATAAATCAGAAATTATGTAGTTCCTGGATCTGACGTCTCAAATGACAATAATTATAAACATTATTATTGTATCACCGAGACCGGTATAGAGGATTGTAATGATCCTGCACTGGTAATAAACTAAACCAAAAAGAACAATCGGCATGACCAATTGTTGTTGTAATTCGAAGTCTACTTAAACCAGGCGAGCGGTACTTGCAGGTTTTATGAGACTTCTGTTTTATGTAATTTATCGCCGATAGTGCGATACATGCACGATATTTTGCTCGTTAGTGCAAACATTTGCTTTTATAAACCGTTGTGTAGAAGGTAGTAATAAATCATACAAAAGGTAAATCCATGGTCATTATAATATTTTTTTCAATTTACATTATAATAACGAGTAAAATAGTGTAAGTCACTAATAACTTCGTAAGTCATCATCAGTACAGTAGTGTAAAACATGTTACTGTGTCCTAATTATAAACAGGCCGGCTTTACCATGTGCCTTCTCTTTTTCCACTTGATATCTTTGCAGCCAGTCATCTCGTTTAAGTCTATGTTCGTTTTGTTTCACCGAACAATTCCTTACGTGGGTCGTCTCAATCACCTGTCGCGTAAAAACGACATTTTTCACACCTGAAAAACATCGTCTGACAGTGTTGACATTCATGTTTCAGAAAAAAGGGGGAGCAACTATGTACTACTTCCGGGTTTAGGATTGCGCAGCACATGTCAAACATCAAATGATTTCTAATGACCGTTATGAAATCCATAAATAAACATATACCCTACACCCTACTGATATACTCTGCATAACAGTACTGTTTAGTTTTACAAGATCTACAGCAGACTTAATGTGATTGGCTGCTTTCTGGTGCGGCGTACTTACCGAGAGGCAGTCATCTTCGATTTTGTTAGCTTTTACACTTACTTACTCTTACTTAGTCGATTCTGAATGTAGGCCTTCTTAGGCCTCTATACTCAGATCCAGATTTTGTCTCAATAAAGTATTCATATAGTCACTCCTGGTTGATGTACTGCTTTGGTGATTGTCAACATTGTACTTTCTGTCCTCTAGTTCCCAGAATTTGTCCAATCTGTTTTCAAAGATTGATGTAGGCACATGTTTGTTACCATTAACTGCGGGAAAGTAAGCTATAGACTATTTTAGGCTTCTTATGTAGGTAGCTTCAAATGTCCGTGATCTCGGAGTAATCTGAAGAATAAAATGAAATATTGCGAACAATTATTGCAATCTTGATATATACAATACTTTTGCGATTTAACTATTAAGTAGATATGTATTACGGTTCCCATTCCTTGGTTTTACCCAAAACACTGTTATCTTCGAGGCAACAAATATTATATTCTCCTAATAAAATCATCTCGTAATCTAATCTTCAATTGTAAGTATTCCCAAAAACATTTCATCTAAAATCGGCTTTGGTTTTGGAAAGAAGAATTCAATGGTAAGAAATTCAAGAGTTTCGCTGTTATAGGTGATGTAGGTGCAAACGCCGCCACCGGATCCAGTGCTATTTCATGTATCCTAGATAAATCCCAAATAAACCTCTTCGGACAATAGAATTTACTTCTAAAGTCATCTCTCGGATCAGTTGGTAGTAGCATCTAACCTGGTTTCTGTGATAGATAGCATCTATATTAACTAGACCGATAGGCATTTTCTTACCATCCACGGTATATTGATAAGTAACTCCAGATGACACCCTTATAGCTGAGCCGTTAACGTGCTACTGAAGAACTTGAATGTAGAATTATTGCGAATATACGCATTACTTTTGACTTCTAGTTGACAGTAGAATCTGAAAACCAACCAATCAATCTGCAACAAATGGCGCCTTCAAGTGATCCTGCTTTCCGCGCACAATTGTCGAATGGAATACCCTCCCTGCGGCCGTTGTAGACAGTGCTTATATAGACATCTTTGAAGATCATCTGACTCCACCTGTTCTCAAACCTCTCCTAAACTAAATTCTACCTCTGTACAAAGTTTCATTTTAAACTAATACTTTTTTTCTCTGTCTCACGCATGGTAATCTTCTTGGTAAGAAGGGCTGGAGAAACTTCAAGAAGAGTCTGATCGGAAAAATCGGGCTACAAGTGGCCATTTGTAATTTATCTTGTAAAGCATAAAATTTGCTATTGCTTAATGAAAATTGGAATATATATACATGATCAATGACGTAATAACGACACACGAATTGTCAAATTTTCGCGGCAATCTTCCCTTATATATATATTTATTCCAGTGATACACATCCAACGAATATCTGTTTGTTAGACTGATCCAGTACCAATATTGGACCATACCGTCGATATTACTTACAATATCATATACATGTATGTATATAGAGCTAGCCTATTTAAAGTTTTACATATGGCCCCTAGTTGAGTAAAGTCTATTTAGGATCAGCTCGGCAAAAATGGCCGACACATCTCGGGTATAGTTTGGATCTCTTGAGAAATGCTGAATGGATCATTCACAGTAGGTTCCCCAGGTCAGTTGCTGTTGTGTGTGTTTTTTTTTTTTTTTTTCATTTTGAGACTGACAAGGGAAAATGGTTGACAGAAGGTGATCTAGGATTTGACGGTTATATGACTGTAGCGATATAATGTAGTATTTTTCACGTTTTTTTTATGTTGGTTTCCTAAGTGACGTCACTATCAGCTACATTACACATACACATTGCTGATATTATCCGGTTTTGTTAGGACTGTTTTCCACACTGCAAATGTTTACATTTCAGGCACAAATTGGGATGGACCTGCAAACACCAAAACAAAGAAGATCAGAAAGTCCGCTCTTATTTCATAAACGAACAATCCTGATCCAACGGGTCAAATCGATAAACAAGAAAATGGAATGTAGAGGACGTCACAAACATTTATTACACAAATCAAAGTCCAGCACAGGAGTTTCGAGAAACACCCCCAGCCGGCTTAGAATCAGTTGTTCTTCCCGCTGCATTATACGGATGCAAGCTCTGGAACATTATGCTGATGAAAACCAAACTCAGACATGTGTCTCTTGACACCGAAGTGAAACATACAAGATCAGTGATGGATTAGAAACGTAATGAAATCACTGCTGAATTCAATTTTATAGTTTCTAAATTTGAGAGTGCTAAAATAGGCGGGCACTTTACATATATTATATTTGAAGCAGTATTTAAATTATTTAACATGTTGGTTACCGGTACATTTTGATGGTAACAGTTCATCCATATTTCTGAAATTGGCATAAAAAATAACATTAGAACGAATCAAAGATGATCTGAAATAAAGAAAAATATCAAATGTCTTCGATTTTTAAACATATTTTTATTCCCACTGCAATAATATCCGGGTTGTGGACAATATCCGACTTAGATTTTATAGAGACAACCAATACTTCCGCAGATTGACTAAGCGCGGAAATGGAGTAATGGCTGGCGAAGTACGGGAGGAGGAGAGCCTCCGGGTGAAAATAGGTAAATATTTTAGGACTGATGACAATTGCATGTGGTATCTTACGTTATCAAATGAGTTCATTAGTAAAAGTTCCATTAATAGATCGTCATACAATTGTGAAAAACCTAGCACTTCCGTTTCCCAGTAAAAAGTTGCCAAAATTATGTCAACACGATCGTAATGTTGATCAACATCTGGAGACTTTCGTTTAACAGGTATAACTGTATCCTTTTGAAGTTACATGGCTAATAGAGATGCATATATGGTATCTGTCTTTTTTAGCTATGTCGATCTCCTAGTCATATTTTATTACCAGGTAAATGATTAAAGCAATGTCCACATTTCCTCAGTTCCGCTAAAACAACAGTGACTAACAGTGGAGAACTAGACACTACAGTACACGCACGTTTTGTCATATGTTGTGGTAAAATAAACAAGTGCTAATCAAAATAGGACATTAAATGTTGGATATTGAAATAACTTGTTGCATAATTTCTTTTACTGCAAGGCTCCAGGAAATAAAATGACTCCATCCATTGTCATTATCTTTATCCGTCAGAATTAAAAAGTTCTGATAGTTATTGGTTCTGAGTTGAATGTAAATCTACATCTCATGAGAACAGAATATATATGTAAACCATGTAATCTTCCAACAGATGGACAACTCTACATTTTGCTGCTATAACTTGATAAGTTGTTTTTAGCATAAGTATTAACAGCAAATGAATTAATTTTTATATATATCAAAAGAAATTATACACAATTTTTTTTCTGTTTAAAGGGGAAGCTAAGAACCTACCTCCCCACACTGTCTCCAATGCTGGCCGCAACACACTGTGTACAATCAAACTTGATCGCGAAGAAATCTTCAGGACACAGATTGTAGAGAAAGATCTCAAGTAGGATTCAGATTACCCAGTGTTTCTTTAAATTTGATCTCAATGTTTACTTTTTGTTATATTTTACAGATCCACAAAAAACTTAGTACCATTTAAGCTTAATAATTCTAAATTTCTTGCAAATTTGACTTTCCTTGATTTATTACAACCTGGTAAGCCAGAACAGTTCCTGTGTTTGTTGTATCTTCTTCAGTTGTAAGATTGGTGAATTTTTAGCTTGAATGCTCTGGATTTTTGGATGTTATAACTTATGACCATTTTCTTCAGTTGTAACCTTTTTGTGTGAACACAGGCTTAACTTTTGATAAACATTTTTAAGGATACATTTTAGATTTACATTCAAATTTCTTTTCCAGTCCATTCTACGGAGAGGAGTTTTCTGGAGAGATTCCACATAAATTTCGATACCTGTCATTCTATATCTATGAAGCCAGTCAGAAAACAAACAAGGTTGGTAGTTGTTCTGTTGGCAAGGTGGACATCAGTCCTGTCTTCACATAGTAGATACATTTATGCTTTAGTTATTGATTATATACACTTTTTACTTAAATAACATAGTTACACATGATTTGTGCTTTAGTTTAAATGTGCTGTTTAATGTATTATAGGGAGGTTTGATAATTTGTTACATATATGCAAACTTGAGAGAGGATTTAGTTGTTTATAATACATGTAGTAAGATATAGTTTAGCTACAACCTGCTTTAATCAGATAATAAGTCCACCAGCAGTGTACATTTATAGTTAATCTGTAATAAGCTCATCCCAATACATTGTATCAGAGGATTTTTATGTGTTGGTCCTTTGGGCTTATTGTAGAGTATATGTCAGATTTATGTACATGTATTAGCCCTATTAGATTTCTTGTACCTTGTTTATAAGGAAATATGCCAGATGGAGGGGATGATGCAGGACAACATGTTTCTTACAGTCCTGATCATGAGGGAAATATATATATGTGGGTGAATATTTTAATTACTAGGCATAGACTTATTCAATATTGCCTGATAAAACAAGGTTTTTCTATGAATACAAGAGCAATTAAACCAGAGATGCTTATATATTTGCAAAACCTATATGATAAGTACATTTCTGTTTTAATAAGGGATATAGCATAGTTACCATCTCCTAAAGCATTGCATCTTTTTTAACAAAAACTTTTGTTTTCAGGTTTTAGGGAAAGTTTCTCTGCGGAGACAAGAACTGTATAAATACCACGGAAAGGATCACTGGTTTCCTCTAGTTCCAGCTGATGCTGATTCAGAAGTGCTGGTAAATATAATTTAAGTAGCAATTCTAAAACAAAACATAATATTCCAGACCTTAATGATAGGCTGCTTTTGGGTAACCCAGTTGAAACGGTTCAGGTGGTCTGGAATGATTCCACTAAACACGGAACGCACATGTACCAAATGTTGGACCTGATATATGTAAAGCTCAAAATGCACAGTTTCAGAATTCCCTGTCAAACATAAAACAATTAATTGAAATTAAGATATCATCCTTTTCTCTCATACTTAATAGCACAATGCTTTTTGAAAATATCTGAATGCACTGACCCTACTGTATGATGAAATTCTGAAAACTAATCCTACTCAGCAAGTTATTTTCGGACAGGCACAGCTGGACCAATCAATCTGCACATATCAAATATTCTGCAGTTCAGCCTTGGTCCCAATCTGTTCCTGACATTTTTGTTGCAGGTTTAACCGGTCCAACTGTTTACGCTAAACTGACCATATTTTATCCCATAGTAATAACCCACCATCCCGTATTGATATAACACCTCTATATGATAGTAATACACATGTAATATGCTTTACTTAACTTGTTAATAATTGCCCAATCTTTGATTGATCACTTTGAGGTGATTACCCAAATTTCTCCAAACATCAAACACGATGAAACGTTCCATGCCCAAAAGTACATCCCTTAACAAATATTTCAAAGCTTTCCACCCCCATATTTTAGCATATGAAACTACAATATAGATTTGACTAAGAGGTTTATTCCAATACAAGTCAATTGAATGACTCTGAGAGTTCATTGAAACTATTATTAATGCACAGGAAGATAACAAAATTTTTGTATTAGGTGCAAAATATACACATCTTTTATTTTGGACTGTGTCCTGATGACAGCCAGCATAAGATTGAGAAATGTCAGCAACCAGTTGCAGAAGAAAATAGAAAATACTGTTTGGAAACCTGGATTCAGGTGTTGCTCTTCTTCTTTCTTGTTTACTTTGTGTGTACCACAAGGTACCCTGAAACCTAGGAGATGAACTACAACACACATGTCTTGGTAGGACATATATAGTAGCACATATAGTCACCACATTGTCTGTCCAGCCATCTGACAGTTTGTCATAATTTTGTCCGGAGCATAACACAAAAACTATAAGAGATATTAACATGAAACTTCATAAATAAATAGATCTCAATAAGGAGAAGTGCAATGTACAAGAACCATAACTCTCCTATAATCTAGTGTTGGACCATCTACATTATATGTACATACATGTATGTCATTATATTGTATTAACATGTTATTCAAATGTATTGCACAATGTATTTTTGTCTTTCTTTCAGGGCAAGGTTCATTTGGAGATTAAATTTGATGAATTTCTTTGTACAGATTCAGAACCAACACAAGGACTATCCATCAGGTAAACCTATATGTACATAGCTATCTGCCAATACGTTTGCGATTCAACAATGTTTAAGTTTTCTCTTCGACAAAAAATGAAATATTGCATCCTGCATCCTTTCCTGATCAGTTTGGAAATGGATAAATATGAATAAGGGGATAACCTTTTGTGTTTTGAAATTTATTGCTGTATATTATGATCAGGGTTACTATTGTTCCTGGGGTCATTTTCCTGGTGTGTTAGGGTTACATTAACAATCATTAGCAATTGCCCTTAAGGTAAAATAAGCAAATGAAAAATCTGCAGATGGTATATCATCAATGTGCTGTTGCAAATTTTATTGATGCTAAAGGGTGCTGTATATGTTAGAAAGGTCCTGTATATATGATATGCAATAAAATACCTTGGTCAAAAAATCATATTGTATAAGTATGACCATGTATTTATATTAAAGGGTCGTAGAGTGCAGTGACCTAACTGTTGTCAATGGAGCATGTAATCCATATGCAGTTGTGACATTGAACTACAAAGCAAGACACAAACAGGAAATCAAGCGAACAAATGTGCGGAAAAAAACCATTTGTCCTCATTTTGATGAAACCTTTTTCTTTTTGGTAAGTCTAGTACATGTACAAGTGTATGGTGTGCTGATTTGTTTTTTTTTCCATTTTGTAATGCATGTCTAGAGTCTTCCTGTATCAGTTTGATGGTTTTGGTAAGGAATACTTTTCCCAGTATACCACAGTGCATAGTATTTGAACCTAGTAAAATTGTGACCTTTTGTTGAACACTAAAAGTAACCTTTTAAAGATGAAATTTGACATCAACAACACCAAGTTATTAATTGTGTATTCCTGTAAAAATTGAAGTAATAGGGAAAGGAGGTTTCATTTACCAATTCAAAGAATTTTTTTATCAAATGAGGGGCAAATTTAATGATAAGAAGTAACCCTCTGTTTCTGTATTACAGTTAGAAAACAAAGGTCAGAACCATGACCGGAACAACTATAACATAGAGCATGCGTTCAAAGCCTATGTAAGGTAAGTCACACATGGAAGTTAGTGACCCAAACTTTACCATTATGTGGTTTTTAAGGGGAAATTGTGAAAATTCCGCATCAGTTAAAAGGATTTAATTTGCATCAGAAAAATGGATTTGTGTTGTTGATTATGTTCTGTCTATGGTACCTAATGCAGAATTTTTTTGATACTTGACATGTTCCAGTGTATCCCTCTGGCATGATGATTCACTGGTTTCACGTGAGGTCCTGGGAGGAATGTTTCCAGGTTCATTTCTGGGTGAGGTGAAGATCCCTCTTCATAACCTCACTACAGGTACTTCACACAAGGCCTGGTAAGTCATTTCAAAACACTGGTGTTTTCTGTGACCTTTCAGATTTTACTCTTAACATTGTAATAGATTTAGGTTATTTTACATGTAATAGACTGTTCTTTTGTTCAGTAATAGACTGTTCTTTCGTTCAGTAATAGACTGTTCTTTCGTTCAGTAATAGACTGTTCTTTTGTTCAGTAACAGACTGTTCTTTTGTTCAGTAACAGACTGTTCCTTTGTTCAGTAATAGACTGTTCTTTCGTTCAGTAATAGACTGTTCTTTCGTTCAGTAATAGACTGTTCTTTTGTTCAGTAACAGACTGTTCTTTTGTTCAGTAATAGACTGTTCTTTCGTTCAGTAATAGACTGTTCTTTTGTTCAGTAACAGACTGTTCTTTTGTTCAGTAACAGACTGTTCTTTTGTTCAGTAATAGACTGTTCTTTTGTTCAGTAACAGACTGTTCTTTTGTTCAGTAATAGACTGTTCTTTTGTTCAGTAATAGACTGTTCTTTTGTTCAGTAACAGACTGTTCTTTTGTTCAGTAATAGACTGTTCTTTTGTTCAGTAACAGACTGTTCTTTTGTTCAGTAATAGACTGTTCTTTTGTTCAGTAACAGACTGTTCTTTTGTTCAGTAATAGACTGTTCTTTTGTTCAGTAACAGACTGTTCTTTTGTTCAGTAATAGACTGTTCTTTTGTTCAGTAACAGACTGTTCTTTTGTTCAGTAACAGACTGTTCTTTTGTTCAGTAACAGACTGTTCTTTTGTTCAGTAATAGACTGTTCTTTTGTTCAGTAATAGACTGTTCTTTTGTTCAGTAACAGACTGTTCTTTTGTTCAGTAATAGACTGTTCTTTTGTTCAGATTAACAAATTAGGATAATTTAGAAAACTATCTTGATTGTAACACTAACTAAAGGTCCTGTATATATGATATGCAATAAAATACCTTGGTCAAAAAATCATATTGTATAAGTATGACCATGTTTTTATATTAAAGGGTCGTAGAGTGCAGTGTAGGTTTACAAGTTTTTGTGTATGGAATGACCAAGTCTTTCATCCATCAGGCACCTATGCTCTCTTAAAAACTCTAAAAGTCTAGTCAAATGACCTTTACTTCTCTTTCAAGATCACAAACCGAAACTTTCGATGGCATTTAGATATGAAAATAAATCATTTTTCAAAAATAATTGTATTTATATTTGAGATGTTAATAGTTAAGGTCTGTTTGAATCACTGCCTATATTTAAATCTTTATCAATAACAGTCATAGATACATGTTTAAGAAATGTGTTTTTTAACAACAGATAGTAAAAGAAATACAAATCCATATTTTAATGAAGATTAGAAATTTTAATAAAAAATTTAATCAGAGATTTTATTAATCCCACACCTACAAAATGTGGGGTTATCATCAATTCCACATGACTTCAGTAATTGATAGAGTGATTTCAATTCTGTATAAAAAAAATAGAAAAAAATACTCAGAACTTCCTAGTATTTCACTGGCTCTGTTTGTTACAGGTACTGCCTTGGAAGCCGAGAGGGCTGGAAACAGTCCCATCAGGACCTCGGAGCACTCCGCCTCAAAATCTCCTATACCTCAGAACATGTGTTCAAATCCGAGTATTATAATGATCTCAGGGAGCTTCTCCTGCAGTCTGTGCATACTGAGGTGAGACCCCAGCTCCTTTAAAATGGCAGTCCTTTTCTGTAAAGTAGCATGATAACCATCTACAAATTTAATCCAACCTCTCTCCTTGTAAAATAAAACACATAGGATATAGTAATGAATATAAAATACCAAGAAATCTAGATAGCTAAGATCATAGAGAACAAAATCTAGGATTTCATTGTTCTCATGATCAAATATAATCACTAAATGTTAGGAATAAAAGGAATTGAAATGACCTCAATCTACATTATGACTTGTATAAAAAAAGTTCTTGGTAAAAGATAATTTTATAGCACAGAAATGTGTTTTGGTACATAAGAATAGCTAGAGTAATATGTTATCTAGCAGTTATCATAATTTGGGAATTTCATAGTGAGACAAAATAAACTATACTCAAATGAAAATAGAATTTAAATTTGGTAATCTGCTTAAAATCTTGACGATAGTTGATATTGGGAGTTATCCCTGTTTAAGGGGTAAATTATGTGTACTTGTAGGAATTCTTCACAAGTGAAGCAAGAACTGTTTAAAATCATAAAATTGCAATCAAGAGATTTGGCTAGTTTAGAATTCTAGTGGATATACTCAGTAATATGTATACTAGTTTAGAATTCTAGTGGATATACTCAGTAAAGTGTATACTAGTTTAGAAGCTTGGCATTTCTCACGACTTTACTGTTGATACCAGAACCTTGGCTATTAAAGATATACGTGTCATGCTGATGAGTTTTGTTGTAGATTTAGAAACTGATTGTTTTCTCTTGTAGCCGGTATCATCTAGTGCAGCTGCTATTCTTGGTGATGTAGTTGAATGTAGACAGGATGCTGCACAACCAATCATGAAGATATTTCTCCACCATAAAAAATTAGTCCCATTTGTGAAGGCCTTAGCAAGAGCAGAAATCAAACGAACTTCGTAAGCATTCTATAATAGAATATTATTTCTGTATTCTGTCTTGTCATAATGCAGGGTTATCTTCTCTTGTCAGCAGGTATTGATTGTTACATCATTAGAGAAAATTAGATCATTTAGTTACTCTCACAAAGAAATGACGTTACAATCTTGCATTGTTTCTAGTTTGTAAAAAGTATTGATTTTCCTGTTTTAAATCATGTTTGATGTCTTTCTAGTAGCTCTACAGTGTTTGAGTAACTGATATAAATATTACAGGGACCCTAACACAGTTTTCCGGGGTAATACCCTGATTACCAAGGTGATAGATGAACTGATGAAGCTAGTGGGATTACCATGTCTGCATGAAGCCATCAAAGCAACGGTTGATGAAGTGAGTGACACCTGTAATTAGAATACTAGTCCTGTATTGATAATGTAAAAGTTATGTAAGCAAAACTTTTTGTGAGTATGAATCCTATTTATCTGCTGCGATGAATATATGACAGAGGGGATATAGATTACACATGTATATATACATTTAAAACAAATATCCAAGTCAGAGCTCCAGTGGTTTCATTTCTAAAGGAATTTTGATCAAACATTGGGTAATGGAATATTACATCTCAGAGGAGTTTGAGTTATAGGATTGTGGAATTAAGGTCACTGTTACTATTTTAAGAAAATCCTTGTCAACAGTCTTCATGCCTTTAGGGATTTTGATCAAACTGCAGACAATCAGTCGTCTCCTTTATTGCAGTTAAGTCAAGGTGAACTGTGAGGGAATTTGTGTGGTTTAAGATGCCACATTATAAAAATTTACAGTGATTTCTCGTCAAAGCCTAGTTCTTTCCTTCTGAATATAAAGCAGAATAATGGATTTGCTTTGACAATTGTTGTTATGGTGCCCAATTAAAACTAGATTTTTAATGATATGGAAAAGTTTGGAGATGTTAATGTATATAAATGTTTTTTTTGTAGATTTGCACAGAACACCTGTCTTGTGAAATTGACCCAGCTCGAATTAAGGACGGAGAGAACATTTCTGACAATATGGTGGGTAGTAAAAACTAGCAATTACCTTGAAATCGGTCGTTTTCTTCTATCAATAAAGTGGGTAGATGTCACCAGAGAGTCTGAGTAAGTCAGGTGATGTGACAACCGTGGCGTATAGATTATACATGATTGTGTAAATCAACATCTTATTTACTTTTCATGTATTATCCTGTGTCTACTGGGATACCTTCCTGATAAAGTAAGATTTGACAGTGCTTAAGGTTTTTTTCTCGTCTCTCTGGGTTTTTTGTCAGCTGTTACTTTTACTGCTTTAGTTTTATTAGCTTACCTGATCCAAAGGTGAACTATGTGAACAAAGAGATGACCTTGACTCATACCTGAAGTCACAGGGATCAAATAGGTTAAAACTGCAAACAACTCTTTCTGAATAAGTGTCAAGAAATATTACAGTTGGCTGGCACGCCTGGGTTGAAGTATGACAAAGTTTGCATAAATACATTACCTTGATCTGTTTTCAAAGTCACAGGCGTCAAACAGTTTCAAACATTTAAAGAGCCAGACCCACTCCGTTATAGATATTTTTTCATATTTTATTGACTTGAAATGTTGTATACTAATAGATAATATATAAATAAAGACTTGTATAAAGTTTCGAACTTGAAATTGAAAGGGTACCGGAGATATCGGTGCCGGAATTAGTCTCATTAATCAACACCAGGATATGAATATTGATGAGGAAAAGTCACGTGATACATTCAGACGTGGTCAGAACCAAAATAAAAATGGAGGAAGAGGTGAGTAGTACATCCATGTGACATCGCTTGTAAAGAGATTTTACCGATAAATGCAAACTCTATATATCATGTATGGAAGTCATCTTAAGTATGTATTGATCACATCTTTCAATGCTTAGATATGACACAAAAACATGCAGATTACGAGAAAAACTACAATTAATTGCAAAGAGGCCCTCAAATGATATGGTAACAAACATATAGAACATAGCGAAATGGATCTATCTAAAGCGAATATTCGATGATAAGAGTATTTATGAATATGATTTTAGAGTGATACTACACGAGAGAGCCAAACAATGAGCGATACAGTGTATGAACCAGCCATCTTCCTTCTTTTTCGCCTCAGAGTCCGTCAAAACGTGTTCTTCCCTCGCACACTTTCTGTCATGTTGGAAGACAGCAGATTTATTTACAGTTCTTTGGGCATGCGTCAGAGGGCAGGACTTCCCGCATAATTACGAATTAGCACTGAGTCATTTTGAATTTTTTTTTTAAACTGTTTATTACGCTAGATTGGTAGCAATTACTTTTAAATTGCGGTATTAGAGGGTTAATCAGAACTTTTGCTACCCGAGAAAAATAGAAAATCATGAATTTTTTTTTAATTAAAATAATATAGGTCGAGGAGTGGGTCTGGCTCTTTAAATGTCTTCTTATGATTAGCCGAAAGGTCTAGAATCATGGTCACAGGTCAAACAGGTTCAAAATCTTTCTTCTGTTTTCTTCTGAATAAATTAAATGTCTATACTAATGATATTTATGGGGTAGAATCCTTGAATGAAACCTGAGAACATTTATAAAAAATGACCTAAAGATGTATAAAATGATTATGGTGTGGTATGTAGTTATGCTTGTGAAAAGTATTCATTACTTGCTCATCGGGCGTCTTATATTCATAAGTCATAAATGAACATGTGAAAATAAATTTATATATTTTTGAAGTATGCAACTTATTTTTGAAAAAAATTTACATATGTTGATGAAAGTTATGAAGTTTTTAAACTTTTTATTGATTTTTGTTATTGTAAATCAAACAATAGTTATCTTCTTTTTTTTTTCAGAAAAATTTAAAACGTTATGTTGAACAAGTTTTCCAGAATATTGTCCACTCTGGTTTGACATGTCCAACTATCATATGTGAAGTGTTTTTTGCTCTGAAAGAGGCAGCTCAAGAATATTTCCCAGGTAAAATATTGCACATCATTATGTCACCATTATTTCCAGGAGAATCTGTTATCACATTGTATACAAAGAACATTTTATTCACTTTGATGGGAGTAAAACAAATCTGTTTGTATATATAAAATGTCACATTCATGTTGCTTTGTAAATCATTTATATATGGCACACCATGATATCCAGGTAAATTATCCCATTTTATATATATGTAAATAAATAAATGGAACACAACTTGATAGAAATGATATTTTTGCCAGATATAATCATCAGAATTCTATACATATAATAACTCTAAGTACAGCATGTGTGTTGCTTGTCACAGCTCATTAAATATTTTCCTAGTAAAACTCCACACTTGTCTTTGATCACAGCTCACAATTCTTTGCTAGCACATGTACACCTATTTCATTTCATATTTGATTGATATTTTGCAGGCTAAACACCACACTTTCCACAGCTCACTGATATTTTCAGAGTTAAACACATGACAGCTCACTGATATTTTCCAGGTAAAACACATGATAGCTCACTGATATTTTCCAGGTAAAACACATGATAGCTCACTGATATTTTCCAGGTAAACGCATGACAGGTCACTGGTATTTTCCAGGTAAAACACATGACAGCTCACTGGTATTTTTCAGGTAAAACACATGACAGCTCACTGATATTTTCTAGTTGAAACACACGACAGCTCACTGATATTTTCCAGGTGAACACATGACAGCTCACTGATATTTTCAAGGTAAAACACATGACAGCTCACTGATATTTTTTAGGTAATACACATGACAGCTCACTGATATTTTCCAGGTAAAACACATGATAGCTCACTGATATTTTCCAGGTAAACGCATGACAGGTCACTGGTATTTTCCAGGTAAAACACATGACAGCTCACTGGTATTTTTCAGGTAAAACACATGACAGCTCACTGATATTTTCTAGTTGAAACACACGACAGCTCACTGATATTTTCCAGGTGAACACATGACAGCTCACTGATATTTTCAAGGTAAAACACATGACAGCTCACTGATATTTTTTAGGTAATACACATGACAGCTCACTGATATTTTCCAGGTAAAACACACGACAGCTCACTGATATTTTCCAGGTAAAATACATGATAGCTCACTGATATTTTCCAGGTAAAACACATGACAGCTCACAGATATTTTCCAGGTAAAATACATGATAGCTCACTGATATTTTCCAGGTAAAACACATGACAGCTCACTGATATTTTCCAGGTAAAATACATGATAGCTCACTGATATTTTCCAGGTAAAACACATGACAGCTCACTGATATTTTCCAGGTAAAACACATGACAGCTCACTGATATTTTCCAGGTAAAATACATGATAGCTCACTGATATTTTCCAGGTAAAACACATGACAGCTCACAGATATTTTCCAGGTAAAATACATGATAGCTCACTGATATTTTCCAGGTAAAACACATGACAGCTCACTGATATTTTCCAGGTAAAATACATGATAGCTCACTGATATTTTCCAGGTAAAACACATGATAGCTCACTGATATTTTCCAGGTAAAACACATGATAGCTCACTGATATTTTCCAGGTAAAATACATGATAGCTCACTGATATTTTCCAGGTTAAACACATGACAGGTCACTGGTATTTTCCAGGTAAACACATGACAGCTCATTGATATTTTCCAGGTGAACTCATGACAGCTCACTGATATTTTCCAGGTGCTATTATGTTTTTCAAAATTTTGACAAAAAATTAGGTACACAACTGCATCCACAGTTGCTTAGGCACACAAAAAATACTTTCATACACCTAACTGACATACACACTTGTACTAGCACATTTTCCTCTTGAAACAAAATTTACTGAGAATATTTACATACATAGCAAACAGCAATCTGTAGACAACTGACCATACGGAATGATTTGATCACTACAGATAACCCACAGGTACGGTACCAGGTAGTAAGTGGCTTCATTTTCCTGCGTTTCTTTGCTCCTGCCATCCTTGGACCACGATTGTTCGACCTGAGGACAGATACGCAGGTTTGTAGTTTGATTTGGTTTTTTTATTATTCTGTGTGTTTAAGTGGTGGCTACCTCACTGGACAAATAACAGGTGCCAACCACATGCCTTTCAGAGTAATTTTGATAGAAGGACACAACCACTATAGTTAAAGACAGTCCATTTATCACCTTCCATAAAAACCCAAACTCCTCGAAGTAAGGAATGTTAAACTACATGCTTCAGATCTTCACCTGAGGCTGGAAAACCTGAAGTTCTAGCACCTTTGTTATGGTGACCTAGTTTGTACAAAGGTCTAGATCTTTATGAACAATATCCAGTCATGTCTAGAGGTACTATATGATGGTCGACTGGTCATCTGGTGCTATACACTAAATAGGTTGTAACACCCGTTGATTCACTGACCACAGTGGTCAAGGTTGTTATGGTAAATAAATAAATATGCATTAGAAACACACACAAGAGACTCTATTGACTATTGTTAACATCTTAAGGATATCGCATGCAAAGTGTGTCTCACAAGAACTCCATTGTGGAGTATGAGTTATGTCCCTTTGTCAGCAGGACTAGAATACTGGGTTTTATTTACATACTGGTCATAGGGAATCATCTCTACAACAAATTCAGATGGGTATAAAAATATGTGAAGGCAAGCATGATTCTAAAGCCCAGAAGGCAAAATAGAAGCATTTAAAAAAGAGTCCTGTCTGTTTAGCTGCATGTATCTGATCTTTTCAAGGATTAGGCCATACAGAAGTATGGGCAATGTATATTTGTATCCTTTAATAAAATCATTTATGAAGACAAGGCTGATCTAGTACATCATCTGGAAATCTGAAGGTATGCAGGGTGATTGATGGGAAATGTTTCAACATGTACACATAGGAATCCATCACATCAAGTGCTGGGTCTTGGCTTGTAGATTTAATAGTAAGTCAGACGGTTTTGTCATCTTGTGTAGCTTCTTGTCCGAAAAAGAGGCTGAAACTGGTTTACTTTCTAATAAATTTATGACCCTGGACCTAGCACCTGTTGTGACAGATTCCTTTTATAAATGAAATAAAAATCAATCTACAGGCAACCAATAAAACCAAATGCAGCACTCTTTATAAAAAAAAGTAACCTAATTTGGGATTTGAAATTTGAATTGGATGTTTACTTACTGTTTTACTGTTATTAAACATTTAAAAGGTAATTGAAACCATCAATATATTATTTCCTTAAGTTCAGTTGCTTTCAAAATCTATACGTATATATTGACATATTTCTAAAAATGATTTTGTTTCAGGATGTGTGTGTGAATCGTACTCTGACACTTGTGTCGAAAGCCTTGCAGGGCCTGGGTAATCTAGTCAGTTCTAAGTCAGTAAGTTACAATAGTTTCTTGTACTCCAGATTTTTTCATCATTCGTTTGCTTCTCTGTTGTATTTTTGTGGATCGGTCATGTAACTAGAGTTTATTTTATTAGTCTGAAACTTTACTCTGGCACTGATAATTTTTTAATTGGTCTTGACATTGATAATAGAACTCTTTGCTTAAAAACTTTTAAATAATCAATTATTTCCAGCACTTCTAACCATTAACATTATTTTCTAGCTATCCTTTGGTCTGAAGGAGGAGTACATGGTTCCTTTATTCAAGTCCTTCAACGATTCTGAACATATAAATGGCATCAGAATGGTATGTAGATACAACATAGAAAAATTGGAAACATCATATCATTGTCTCTGTTTAAATTGATGTTTTTGCATTGCACCATTGTATCATGTAGTAACTTCTTGACTATCAGGGTGACTATTTACAGAATGAAATAGGTTGATAAATGTACATGAACCATCAAAGTGGATGATTACAAGTTTATTGTATGTTGTATATACAATACCATAAACATAGCAACAATAATCTTCATATAGATCTCAGTGTTGCATAGACAAATAAACAAGTCTTTGCGTATGCATTTTTATGTTAATAAATAGGTGAAAGAGTGTTGTATATGTTAATAAATAGGTCAAAGAGTCTGTAGTATATGTTAAACTCATGTATACAAAGTCAACAAAGAAATTACCAACATTGATAACAGAATCTTAATTCCAAATTCCAGCACCAATTTGATGAAACTTTACCAAAATGTGAACAAAAGAAAGATTTCCATAAAAACTCCTGAAAAAAAGTTCCATGGTTATATCTATTGTAGACAAGTTTACTGTGATATTGAAGCCATATCGTAAAAGGTATTGATACATATAAAATATTACGTGTTCTATCTATTGTAGTATCTGGATATAATATCTTCAGCTGCACGAGCTCATACAAAAAGTGTCGTCATAGAGGCCCCAATCGTGCTGAAAGAAGGGTAAGTCTGTGGTATGGTAATCCCAAACATTGATCAGTGTTACGACCCCTTTAAAGTGTTGGAAGCTGTGATAGGTTCCTTTGGTCCATTGTCAACTAGATATACAATATCTTTTCAGATTTCTTATCAAACGTGCTCAGGGAAGAAAAAAGTTTGGTGTGAAGAATTTCAAACGACGTTATTTCTGTTTGACCAATCAGCACTTCTATTACTCAAAAATTCGGGACGATCCACCCTTGTGTGTGATACCTATTGAAGATATTCTTGCTGTGGAAAAGCTTCAAGAGGAATCCTTCAAAATGAAATATGTAAGTCTGAGATACAATGAAGTGGCTCTGATATTTTGGATTTTATATCTGGCTTGTTTGGTAGACAGAGTTTTGTTTTAACTGTTATTTTGGCCACATTTTTAGGTTATTTGAGTCTTAAATTACTTCTACACTGCTGTCTCCAAAGCTGCAGAGCCTAGAATCCTTAAAGTTTGTGGTATGGTAGGCTTTTAAGATTGTTGAAGTAGTTATTTAGAACTAATGTCAAGATTACAAGTTCAATCATGCTGAATACTTCATTTTACTGCTCAAGAATTTCTTTTACAAATGCTTTTGAATAATGAGACACAGTGACAATAGTTCATTTGTATCTGGTCTTGCTATGTGGTAGAATGATATGACAGTGACTTTCAAGACAACATATCTGCCCTTGTTCAACCACAGATAAATAGATATGTAGATATCCAAGACACTTACTGTTCTCCACTTATAGCAGTTCAATTTTGTTTTTATTTGTAGATGTTTCAGGTGGTACAGCCACAAAGAGCTCTCTATATACAGGCCACCAACTGTGTTGAAGAAAAAGAATGGTATGTAATGCACAAAATGTTACTCCAATAAGAAATCAAATTGCTCTTATATAGACAGATGGCACATTTGACCAGGGCCTTTTCCTTTTATCAGTTTCACCATTGAGACCAGGATTGTTTGTAGGATAGACACACTAATCTTACTTTGCTTTCTAATTAGCGTTCATAAAAACTTTCAAGGCCAATTTAATGTAACATTTAGAATGCCTACAAACTTGTTTGTATAAATGTGCAAGACCAATTTGTCCAAATGGATTGTTGAATTATTACACAGATGAATGATTAAATGTAAATGAATTGTCAAAATATTACACACATTGATTTTAGTGTTATAAAGACATAGGTAAAAACGTAAGAACTATGTACACTGTAGCAGTAAAGCTGTTTTGTGTGAACATTTTGTTTAGCAGACAAACTCTTGTACTTTTTAGGTTGGACATTCTGACAAAAGTTTGTCACACCAACAGGAACCGATTAAAGGTGTTTCATCCTGCTGCTTTTATCAATGGTCACTGGCTGTGGTAAGTTATAATACACACGATATAAAGAGAATACCACACCTGTTCTTGTTGATGAGTGCATCAAGATTTTTTTTTAGCCCTAACCCCAACACCAGTTTTTGTCACCTGTTATTGTTAAGGGTTGTATTCAACTGTTTTCAACTGTTTATGCTTTAAGCCAATTCTAAAAAATATGTTTTTGCTTCCCAAAAATTTTCAGGGAAGCATATAGTGGCTAACCTGGTGTGTACATTGGTTGTAATAAATCGATGTGTAGTATACCAAATTCAGGACCCGCAATCCTTCAATTACAGAATTATTGCCCTTTCTTAAAGATATATTGTCAAGAGCATAACTTTGCTTCCATTTAAGGTAGGATAATGAAAATTCATATATACATTTGTCATAAAAATGTGAAGTGTACGAATGTAAGTGCCAGCAACCCCTTAATAAAAGAGTTATTGCCCTTGCTTAAAATTTTGTACGGAGCATTACTTTGCCTGTATTTAAACTAGGATATTGAAATGATACATCAGTCATACAATAGCAAAGTGCATTTGTGCAAAGTCTGGGCCCATGACCCTTCAGTACAGAGTTAGTGCACTTTGTAAACATTTTGTGTCATGAGCATATCTTTGCTTGTATTAAAACATTGGTCATACTAAGAGAAAGTGAAGTACACCAAATTCATGGCCTACAATCCCTTAATTACAGAATTTTGGCTCTTTGTTTAAATTTTGTGTCCAATAAAGTTGTATTTGGGGAGCAATCGTTAGTTTCACAGATACTTTTGTTGTCATTGTTTGTTTATTGGTGTGTTTTCACTTGTTTACACCTTATGTATGATTTTTAAACCTGTGTCAATGTTTCTACTAGTGTTGATGTTTCTAGTGTCAATGTTTCTAATAGTGTCAATGTTTCTACTAGTGTCGATGTTTCTACTAGTGTCATTGTTTCTACTAGTGTCGATGTTTCTACTAGTGTCATTGTTTCTACTAGTGTTGATGTTTCTAGTGTCAATGTTTCTACTAGTGTTGATGTTTCTACTAGTGTCGATGTTTCTACTAGTGTCATTGTTTCTACTAGTGTTGATGTTTCTACTAGCATTGTTTCTACTAGTGTTGATGTTTCTACTAGTGTCAATGTTTCTACTAGTGTTGATGTTTCTACTAGCGTTGTTTCTACTAGTGTTGATGTTTCTACTAGCGTTGTTTCTACTAGTGTCAATGTTTTTACTAGTGTTGATGTTTCTACTAGCGTTGTTTCTACTAGTGTTGATGTTTCTACTAGCGTTGTTTCTACTAGTGTCGATGTTTCTACTAGTGTCATTGTTTCTACTAGTGTTGATGTTTCTACTAGCGTTGTTTCTACTAGTGTCAATGTTTCTACTAGTGTCGATGTTTCTACTAGTGTCATTGTTTCTACTAGTGTCATTGTTTCTACTAGTGTTGATGTTTCTACTAGTGTCATTGTTTCTACTAGTGTTGATGTTTCTACTAGCGTTGTTTCTACTAGTGTCGATGTTTCTACTAGTGTCATTGTTTCTACTAGTGTTGATGTTTCGATGTTTCTACTAGTGTCATTGTTTCTACTAGCGTCGATGTTTCTACTAGTGTCGATGTTTCTACTAGTGTCATTGTTTCTACTAGTGTTGATGTTTCTAGTGTCAATGTTTCTACTAGTGTTGATGTTTCTACTAGTGTTGATGTTTCTACTAGTGTCATTGTTTCTACTAGTGTCATTGTTTCTACTAGTGTCAATGTTTCTACTAGTGTTGATGTTTCTACTAGTGTTGATGTTTCTACTAGTGTCAATGTTTCTACTAGTGTCATTGTTTCTACTAGTGTCAATGTTTCTACTAGTGTCATTGTTTCTACTAGTGTTGATGTTTCTACTAGCATTGTTTCTACTAGTGTTGATGTTTCTACTAGCGTTGTTTCTACTAGTGTCATTGTTTCTACTAGTGTCGATGTTTCTACTAGCGTTGTTTCTACTAGTGTCAATGTTTCTACTAGTGTTGATGTTTCTACTAGCGTTGTTTCTACTAGTGTCATTGTTTCTACTAGTGTCATTGTTTCTACTAGTGTTGATGTTTCTACTAGTGTCATTGTTTCTACTAGTGTCAATGTTTCTACTAGTGTTGATGTTTCTACTAGTGTCGATGTTTCTACTAGTGTCATTGTTTCTACTAGTGTCGATGTTTCTACTAGTGTCATTGTTTCTACTAGTGTCGATGTTTCTACTAGTGTTGATGTTTCTACTAGTGTCGATGTTTCTACTAGTGTTGATGTTTCTACTAGTGTCATTGTTTCTACTAGTGTCGATGTTTCTACTAGTGTCATTGTTTCTACTAGTGTTGATGTTTCTACTAGCATTGTTTCTACTAGTGTTGATGTTTCTACAAGCGTTGTTTCTACTAGTGTCATTGTTTCTACTAGTGTCAATGTTTCTACTAGTGTCATTGTTTCTACTAGCGTTGTTTCTACTAGTGTCATTGTTTCTACTAGTGTCGATGTTTCTACTAGTGTCATTGTTTCTACTAGTGTTGATGTTTCTACTAGCATTGTTTCTACTAGTGTTGATGTTTCTACAAGCGTTGTTTCTACTAGTGTCATTGTTTCTACTAGTGTCAATGTTTCTACTAGTGTCATTGTTTCTACTAGCGTTGTTTCTACTAGTGTTGATGTTTGTTTTGTTTTCTTTACAGCTGTAAGGTACCAGACCAGACATCTCCTGGCTGTACTCCTGTCACAGGAGGACTATCTGTTGCAGACATACAAGTCAATATTGACTCTGACAGAGAGATGGAGAGAATACATTCCTTATATTTAAACTACATGGAAAAGCTGGAAGCTATGCAAGGTATTTATCAGTATTTGATAAGTATTTGGTGTCTTCTTTAAAAAGTTTCCCGATGTGTCCACAAATGACTTCTGAATTATCTGAATAACAGATACAATGTGATAAGGTTAGATATGTTAGATAGTACAACCTACGTGACTATTGTAAACATAGAACAATCTAACAGGCCCAAAGCTAAATCAATGGGTCAGAGTCTAAACCTACCTCAGCCGTACTTCATTTTGTGATCTTTGACATTTAAGTGACAAGACAAAATTTAAAAAAAAGTCTTCACAACAGTATGTATCAACTTAAGATCCCATTTACATATAAATCTATTGAAGTCTTCACAAACACTGTGTACCAACTTAAGCCACCATTTACATATAAATCTATTGAAGTCTTCACAAACACTGTGTACCAACTTAAGCCACCATTTACATATAAATCTATTGAAGTCTTCACAAACACTGTGTACCAACTTAAGCCACCATTTACATATAAATCTATTGAAGTCTTCACAAACACTGTGTACCAACTTAAGCCACCATTTACATATAAATCTATTGAAGTCTTCACAAACACTGTGTACCAACTTAAGCCACCATTTACATATAAATCTATTGAAGTCTTCACAAACACTGTGTACCAACTTAAGCCACCATTTACATATAAATCTATTGAAGTCTTCACAAACACTGTGTACCAACTTAAGCCACCATTTACATATAAATCTATTGAAGTCTTCACAAACACTGTGTACCAACTTAAGCCACCATTTACATATAAATCTATTGAAGTCTTCACAAACACTGTGTACCAACTTAAGCCACCATTTACATATAAATCTATTGAAGTCTTCACAAACACTGTGTACCAACTTAAGCCACCATTTACATATAAATCTATTGAAGTCTTCACAAACACTGTGTACCAACTTAAGCCACCATTTACATATAAATCTATTGAAGTCTTCACAAACACTGTGTACCAACTTAAGCCACCATTTACATATAAATCTATTGAAGTCTTCACAAACACTGTGTACCAACTTAAGCCACCATTTACATATAAATCTATTGAAGTCTTCACAAACACTGTGTACCAACTTAAGCCACCATTTACATATAAATCTATTGAAGTCTTCACAAACACTGTGTACCAACTTAAGCCACCATTTACATATAAATCTATTGAAGTCTTCACAAACACTGTGTACCAACTTAAGCCACCATTTACATATAAAATCTATTGAAGTCTTCACATACACTGTGTACCAACTTAAGCCACCATTTACATATAAATCTATTGAAGTCTTCACAAACACTGTGTACCAACTTAAGCCACCATTTACATATAAATCTATTGAAGTCTTCACAAACACTGTGTACCAACTTAAGCCACCATTTACATATAAATCTATTGAAGTCTTCACAAACACTGTGTACCAACTTAAGCCACCATTTACATATAAATCTATTGAAGTCTTCACATACACTGTGTACCAACTTAAGCCACCATTTAAATAGATGCATTTGATTGTTTTATTTATCTTCTCTCCTTAGTACAAATGTACTGGGTATCAATAAACTTAAGTTATGGAGTACACCAAACAGTCTTCTAAATTGTAGAATGAGGCCAACATGGACTCCTAAAGCATTCCAGAATCAGGATCCCTTGTGTGTTTTGAAAATTTGATTTATACCTGTTTTATTTAAAAAATCGCATCATTTAGATATTTCAGTGTGGATGTTCTTTTCTTTGATAGCTTGTCACAAAATCAAGTGATGTAAAGTCAAATATTTCGATTGGGCTCAACTATAATGGTTTTTCAAAAATATTAATTTTTCGTGGTACTTTGTACATGATATTGATGATAAATTTTACTCATAAAATCAATTAGTACTATAACCATGTTAATATTGCAATTTTGTGTCATTTCAAATCTGGACTAATGTCTGATAAACATTGTTGTTTGATTGATTGAAATTTGACCAAAGTGGAGGATATTTTCACGAGTCTAGTACCAGGTGTATGTTATTTAGTGTCAAGGTAATAAAAAAAAACCTCAGGATTGTTTTGTTACTAATGAGAATTTCCTGAATTTTGTTTTTACCACTACAAGCTTACACTGGAAGACAACTGGGTAAATGTTTTTGATGTTATATCTATTGTGTAAATGTCATTTTATGTTCATGATTTGAAGACGTGTATCATTATGTTACACGGAAGTGTTTTAGTTTATGGTACAAGGAACTACCAATATATGTTTTAGTTTATGGTACACAGAACTACCAATATATGTTTTAGTTTATGGTAATTTGGTAAAATTGTTTTCCTTCAATTTTTTTCCCTCTAGTTTTTCAAAAGCTACATTAACATGTATAACATCAATTTGCTACAATTTGTATTTGTTAAAAATCACTTTATTTCAGTTGATGGGAAGTGTTTTTATTGGGGACAGGTTCTACATCCTCAACATCTTTATCACTTCAGAATCTTTAATAGCTTCACCTTAATAAATGTTTGTATGTTGTAGTCACTTAGTATGAACATGTGCTGTGTTCTTTTTCTTCTTTTTACTGCTACAACAATATTACCTGGTAGAGATGTGTGGGTTATACTGAAACCAGCTGTCCCACCTTTGTCTGTGTTTGGAAAATTTAGCTTGACCTTAATGCTTATCTTTCAACCAGGTTATATGAAACTGATGCTAGTGATCAGAACCGTGATTTATGTTTGTTCCAATCGTTTTGTTTAGGCTACCTTGATGAAAACATTGTTGGTGTACTTGGTTTTAGTTTACCTGTGGCTTACAATTCTAGTGTGATTTTCCAGTACTTTCATTAACCAAAGGCATTGATAGCCACAGAGTTGTCTTCTCTTTGATACCCAGAAGGAAGTACTTTTTTTACATGATATAATGCAGCTTAAAAACAGGTCATCAGCTAAGAAACTTAAAATATTAAAAGCTTACGTGTAAGTTTTTTTTTAGATTGTAGAATTGAAGAAAACTTAATTATATTTTATTATATATTTTCAGCTGGTTTCTGACCATGCTTATTTTCATATTAGTCTTAAATTTCGAAGTATAACATATAATGTGAGTTGATCTTTTGTCGTCAGATGCTTGCGCCTCTCAGGAAGTTTACATGGGAGATGAGCCAGTTCACCAGCCATACATTGAGGACACACAATCCTGCTTCAAGACTCTAAATCAGGTGCTGACTTGTGTTATCAGTCTAGAACAGGAACACATGCAGTACTGTAAGCTCAAGCAACGTAATACAGTCATCGGATCCATGTGAGTATATTATGCAATTTACTTTTCTCCCTTCTCAAAAGATTGGGAATGCACAGAGAATTTTACATCCAAAAGGTGTAAGATTGATACAGTATCCATCAATACACTGTGTGATGTCTATAACAGTAGTAGAGTGGTTTATTAGTATAATAGTAATACACTTTGAAGTAGGCAAACAGGGTCGATATCCTAACCAGACATGAAAAGGAACAGAGTCAAATAAGCCTGTTAACAAGTTAGGTACTGCATGATAGTTTCCTCCCACAGTAAGAACAAGAGAAGTTGATAGAATTTGCTTCATTATACAGTCAAACCTGTCTTAAAGGGCACCTTTTTAGAAAGACCACCTGACTATAAAGACCACTTTTTTTGTTCTAAATGTAATGCAATTTATTGTAATTGAACCTCTTTATAAAGACCACCTGTGTATAAAGGCCACTTTTCTCTGCTCCTATGAGTGGCCTTTATAGACAGGTATATAATTTTATAACATAAACAGATTGATTGTAACATGTCTTTATGGGGATAGTTACAACACTGTATTTATGTATATATTTGGGATTCATGGAATTATTCTCAATGAGTGTTAGCTCATAAAAGACATGCTGAAATCACACCTCGCTAAGTCACAAAATACATTATAAAGTACATTAAATATGGCAGCTGGAGAATTCCACATATATAGTGGATTTCAGTTTTATTTGTTTCTAACTTTCTAAGACATGACATGATTAAAAGTTAACAGATTATAGATGTAAATATTAGAAAATTATCTGCGATTTTGTGTTGTTACACCCTCACATCAAGAACTAGGTCACATTACTGTAAAAAGAGGAAAGACATCACCCTCTACAGACTTATACAGTTGTCACAATACTTCACATGTGTTCACAAACATTACCTCTTTTGAGAGTTGATATATCAGTCTTCTGCAGTCAAAATCTAGGTCACTGTGACTCTAAATAGAAATTGACACTTTTTGATGTCACAGTTCTTTACACATGTGTTATTACACATCTGGAGGACCTGTACATGAAACAGAACAAATCACTCTACCTTTCCTGTTCATTTATGTCAGGTACAACTTGTGGGATGCGAGGGTATTCCTAATGCTTTGTCAGATGAATAAACTATTGTCATGGTACCCTTGTCTTTAAGTCTGTAACTTGTTTTCACACTATTCCATCTTTCTCATCTGATTTATTTGTAAAGTGATGTTTATCCATCATTACATAAAATTGTATCTTGATAAATTTTGTTCTTGTTTATTTATCTTTTCAGTGATACACCAATAGGAGATGAGAGCTACTCACAATTTCCCGGAAATACTCGTTTGTGATGACATGTGACTTGTTTGTGACCTATTGTCTCCCTAAAGTGCCTCATCATTTGTATCGTGCCATCCTTCATCCTCATCAAGCCTGTTTGTGTAAACACAAAAATCTCATCCCATCCCTTTAAATGTGTAATGTTCATATCAATGTATAAATTTCACCCAATTGCAAATTATTATTATTTTGCGAAAAAACCCCACCTTACTTTGAATTTCATTTTTATTGGAAATGATTTTTATCTGCTGGAGTAGCATAAGGTCTGCCACCAACGAATTGATTGTCCCTCTGTCCAGCTGTTAGTTTTTCTAAAACAGTGCTTCAGAAGTTCAACTTTCTCAGGATGTTGCTGGATTCAGAAAAGCTTATTGCATGAGGATTTAAAATTTATAGCAATTTTATGTTAAGCAAATTAAATATCAGGTTTTAAGGTTTAATTGACTTTTACCAGAATTATACTGACTTTCAGATTCAGAACCAACAAGCTATGCACAAGCTAACCACCGTTTCTGTTACATATTTTCACGATTTTTTTTTTTTATTATTTTTTCATCATTTCATTGAGCATTTCAAAAAGAAATTAATAAATATTAATGAAAGATTTTCAAAAGAAATGAATTTACATTGTTGTACAAAGTACTGTATGAAGCTGAAGTTCAGCAAAGTATTTCTGAAAGTACTGTTTGTGCTATTTGATTCAGTATCATTGACTTGGGTAGTTGTTTTTATTATATATATATATTGTTATACTTTCACTTTTATTTCTAGTCTTTTTGAAGTATTGATTGCTTTACAGTCCATTTTACATATACTGGAGTCATGCAGACATTTTTCTCCTGTTTACAACTTTTCCCCCAGTTTTACATATACTGGAGTCGTGCGGGCATTTTTCTCCTATTTACAACTTCTTTTCCCCCCGTTTTTTGTGAAGTCTCCCTGGGTTTCGCTGGTTAGCCAAATGGCAAAGTTCTTAGACCCATCCGCAGTATTCTTTAAACTGATCATGGTTTACCTGGGTTGGACACTATCTAGGAACAACACAAGTCAGCAGTTGTTTTGTTTTTTAGACATTTTAAAGGTTCACCAAAATCATGAAAACACTATAGTAGGTATTTTAAGGCCTCACTCAGGGCGCTACTTTAAGTGTTAGTTTGTTTACAGTGTCAACATATCACTGAGTCATCCACAATGTAGAGGCACACAGAATAACATTAAAGCCACTGGAGACTGAGATAAGACATTTCATATAATGACTATATGTCATACATAATAGAACCATACAAAATAAGGTCATATATAATATAGAGGTCACACATAATGTAAAGGTCATACATAACAAAGGTCAAACATAATATAAAGGTCATACATAACAGAGGTCACATAAAATACTATTCTATGTCATATATAACAGAGGTCACACATAATATAAAGGTCATATATAACAGAGGTCACACATAATATAGAGGTCGTACATAACAGAAGTCACACATACTATAGAGGTCATACATAACAAAGGTCACACATAATATAGAGGTCGTACATAATATAGAGGTCATACATAACGGGTCACATTTAATATATGGGTCATACATAACAGAGGTCACTCTTAATATAGAGGTTATACATAACAAACAGAGTTCAAACATAACAGAGGTCATACATCATGAAGGTCACATATAATATAGGGGTCATACATAACGAATGTCTTATAATATAGAGGTCATACATAACAGAGGTCATACGTAACAAATGTCTCATGATATAGAGGTCATACATAACAGAGGTCACATATAATACAGAGGTCATACATAACAAAGGTCACACATAATATAGAGGTCATACAGAACAGAGGTCATATATGATACAGAGGTCATTCATTACAGAGGTCACTCATAGTATAGAGATCATACATAACAGAGGTCACATAAAATATAGTGGTCACACATAATATAGAGGTCATGCATAATAGAGGTTACAAAATACAGAGATTACACATCACAAAGGTCACACAGATTGGAGGTCACAATGAATATAGAAATATTATTATAGAAGTCATACAGGTCATATACAGTGTAGAAGTCATGTATAGAGGCTGTAATACAAAGAACATGGGGGTTATAAAAAGTTCATGCATGATAATAGAAATTATTTATATTAGTTTCACAGACCAAGGGTCAAAGGAAAGGAGATTATGCATAATATGTCCTGTACAACAGAGGTCATATAGAAGTACACAAAGGTCACATCGAAACTCATTATTAGAGAGATTATATATTATAGAGAACAACACAGAGGTCAAATAGAGACTGAATAATACAGAGATTATGTATTATAGAGAACAACACAAATGTGCAATCATATAAGATCATAACAAAGGTACACATGTTACCCAGAATACATCACACAACTAATATAACATCATATATTATATTCCCAACTGTCTCTCATGGTGATTGACCACATGGTGACAATCAATTCTGTGTTATATCATACCTTTTTTATTGTAAAGCATTTCATTGTAATTAAAAGATTTTGTTTTTTAAAATGTTTTAATATGTTTAAAATAAATTACATTTGTTTTTTATTCTTGATCGATAATTGAATCAAGGATCAGTTTTTGTGCCAATCTCCATCTGTATGTATCGTACTATCTGTTACCACAGGTACCTGTTTGATTGATAGACACTATAACGTCCCCATATTTCACACGAATGGACTAATGTTTCTATGGATATCAAATATATATGAACAAATTGCTGTGTTCACTGTAGATTTCAATGTAGAAATGTTACAGATATAATGTTGTTGAATTTTATTTGTAATGTTTTATGGTAAAGATTATTAATGAAATATTCCTTAAAGCCAAGTCTTTTGCAGGAAAATGACTTGACTTTACAAATGTTCAGTATATATTTTATCACATCTGTAGTTATATTTAGATAAAGGGGCTATTTCAGTATAACATCTATCCAACCCCAGGACTCAAGGTTTTTAAAGGGGTAACACCCCTAAAAAGTTAATTACTAATTTGTATAGAGGTAATAGGCATGAAAACAAACCATGTACAGAAGTTGGTGCTCTTTTTTTTATTTTTTAATTGTTTCAAGGATAGAAGAGTTCAAGGGTCACGTAGATGTTAGACTGCAGTAGCACTTAGTATGTTACTTTATAGTGTAGCTTATGTACACTGAACGTGTCTAGTCAATAAGTGTGAAGACAGTGGTCTGTGTATCTATAGAACCTATGTAATACATTCTAAGGCATTGTTATTTGTGTCAGTTTTGACCTAAATATAGTTTACATTCATGGTATTTTGGTGAGGATGATACAAAGTTTTATGAACCAGAGAAAAATTTTAATCTCTGACTCATGGATACTTTTTCGTAGGCCGATAAAATTATGTATCAACCAAGTGAACAATGACATTATTTTTATTATAAAATGATATTTTTGATCTCATTTCCATGTTGAAATTAAAATCAGAACCGGCATTTTTTAACTTTGACGTAAGGAGTCTGAAAAACTTTCACATGTGGTGCTTCACTTCAATATCAACAAAGCGAAGAAGCCATGTCACATTTTCACTGTTGTCATGCAGTGTCAAGGTCAGCACTTGTCAATGAAAAATAAATATATTCTAAGAAAATTAAAGCAATAAATTTTTTATCTGCTTTCTTTTGCATTGCCTGTCAATATGACATAGGGAAAAGGAGATAAATATCATTTTATATTAAGTTCGTTTAGGAAATCACTAAACCCATTGCTTGTGTTCAATCTTGTAAACTGTAAGCTAGAAAGTCTTTTACAAACTGATGATTGTTGATTATGTTAGTTAAATTGAAACATGTTTGTTCTAAATCATCTTATAATACCTTCAGGTAATGTGATGATACAGGTTAGGAAAAACCCACATTGTTTCGTTTTAAATAATAAAGAGATTTGCTAAATTTACTTCAATAAACTGGTTGCTTCGATCCAAAACTGGAGATTTGACAGGTATGAATATGGTAATTTGTAAGTTAGGAATTGAGAAACAACTAGTAATTGAATTTTACCAATATTTACATACATGACAATTGTGATGTTGTGACCAATTACTTGTATTAAATACTCAATATTCCAGAAATAACATCAGTTTTGATTACTACTTACAGTCACCCCTGAATACAAGCTGAGTTCAACATTTTCACTATTGTAAATTAGGGTTACCATTTCCTTACTTGTCACAAAGAATATTTTGAAATGATATTCAATTTACCCGACATCTGGTCGAAACAGCAGGTAGATTTTATACTCCATTTCACACAATACATGTACAGTGACTTAAACACTTGAAGGTTGGACCCCTGAATATCTTATTTAACATTTAAATTGATTGCACAGGACTACATATTTTCTGATTTTTTAACTGATACTTGCATCTGTTGTTTTTGAGAATGTTCAATATACTTTACAGCAAAGAAATAGGCTAGAATTTCTGTGTTCTATTCCAGGTATAATAACTGTACATGGACCAAATTTAATGTACTATTATCAGATCTGTGGTACAAGGTAATACATTCCAAGAGTAATATTATATATGTTTAATTGTTTATTTCATAGACAATATTATCAGATTTTTTGTTCTGTTTCTTTTTTATCAAAAAAAAAAACAACATATTTTCAGATTGCATTCTCTAGTGATACAGGTGATGTCTACATGATTTTGGTTTGGTGAGTGATCCAGAAATTAAAAGTAAATAGAATCATTTGATGTATCTTTTATGTTTTTGGCCAATCTTGTTTTATGTCAGGTTCATTCACCTGTTTGCCTTCTCTATTAAGAAGGAGTGTGTATGATAAACGTCCTCTATTAAGGAATATGTATGATAAGATCAGATCTTAACAAGCTGGTATACATATGTTTGGCTTGATGACAGTTTAATTTTTTCTGCAAATACATGTGTCATGCTTTCATTTATTTTTTGTCAATTTTTTTTTTACTCAGGATAAATCGGGATCAAAAAGG